AGCAGATTGGTTTGCATTCTGCAGACTGATCACAAGATGAAGCATTGTTCCTTTACTTTGGCGGTGTATACTACATTGCAGTTAGCATGTGAGTTTGGTGAACAGTTGCGCGAACGAGTGGTGCTATTTCTGCAAGGTGCCGATTGTGACGAAGTGGCTTACCCATTTCTCCTTCTCTAGCGTGTCAGTGGCATTGTGGTTTTCTGGCGACGCGCTCATCCTCTGGAGTCCATTGCCCAGTGCTTGGCTGACAACAGCTTATTGACCTCGAGAAGCTGTTGACAGGTATGGATTGAGCTTGTGCCTGGTTCACTGCATCGTTGCAGGATTGCAGCATCATTTCCTACAGCTGATTGCTTTGCTGCTTCTTCAGCGAGAGGTAGCCTGTTGTCAAACGCCTTTTGGTTTAGAGCATTGCTTTACGAGAAGAAGACTGGCGAGATTGCCTGTAGTGTTGCCCAAAAAGCGCCAGATGCTGTGGCAACATGCTCGATTGAGAAGGATGCACTAAGGATTGGTGTCTGATATTCCTTGCTTCTGATCTTCGCGTTGTGCGGATATTGCTTCCGCGTGATGTTTCTTCATGGCAATTGTTGAGTGCCATTGATCCTTACATCGCACACTTCGCCGATGCGATTGTGATTTCACGATTTGACGTTGCCCTTTGACAGACAGATGGTCCCCTATGTATATTGCAGAGGACCAAGCGTTGTGCATTGACCACGCTGGTCATTGAAAGCGAGACGATGGATCTTTGACTGGATTGACATATGCTTGGAAGTATTCGCAGTTGCTTTGTCTTCGTGGTATTGGTCAGCGCTTGTGAACTCATTGCTTGTGATTCTTTATTTCCGTGCTTTTCTATGTGCAAACCAAGTCATTGCATTCATTCGACCACAGTGAGATCGAATATCGCTGGTAGCGTCGCTGGTAGCCGCGAGCTTGGTGGAACGCTTGATTGGGCTCACAACCCAAAGTTGTAGGATTGGAATTCAAGTTTTACGTGGAGTCAGACGTTTATTGGCGACTGTATCAGTGCATGAGAGTTCTTTGGATGATGGAATTTCTTATCTACTATTATATTTCAGGCCGAGTTGATTGATGATATCTTCTTTGCGGTTGACACACACTGGTTTCAGGACGCCATATGTCCGGCATTGCTATCTCTACGTGGCATTGCTCGGTTCTGCAAGTTGTGAGAAGGGTCATTCTTTCGGAGTGCAAAATTGAGACTGCTTCCTTGACCCTGATTTAAAGCAGCGTATTGATCGCCGTTGCAAAACTGCGCGTGGGAACTTTCGGGATTGCGTTGGATGCACCCTGGTTGGTCCTACTTGAGTGACAGCATTCTCTCAGCGTTGCTCATTGGTCAGCTGCTTCTTTTGAACCTCGTCGTACAGTATTGAGGTTTTACAAGATTAGTTTGGTTCTGTCATTGTTCTCATGCTGCAGATTTCAATTGCACGAACGGTGATTGGTTTTGTTTGCAGTCTGCTAGTGACTGCTTCATGGGATGTTTTGCATTGTTTCCGGAAGAAGACGAATGAATGCGATTGGATTGCTTTCATTGAGATCTTCAGTACAGTGTTGGACACCGTATTGAACTTGGATCTGGAAAGTCATTGCAACTCCACCTATGTTGCAAGACCTGCCGTTTTGAGCATTTTGAGTCACATTGACTTACTCATTGTGACATCAAGCCGTTTCTCAGAATGTCACACGGAGCGACGAGCCTTTGGCACAGAAAGAGAGCCAAATCCAGGAATGCCTTCGGATAGGTTGACTGCAACCAAAAGCTACTGCCGTCTTGACGTGAAGAAGAACTGAGCTCATTGAGCCCCGTTGGCAGAAACGCTTTCTGATTCACTGGTCTCTAGTTTCTGGTTCTATTGACTGCGAGGAAGCTGTGTTTGGATGATTGCTAAGTCGTTCATTCAATGCGGTTGTTGATCTTGCAATTGTAAAGGTCATGGAACTCTAGAACAAGAAATTGGCCACAAGATGCCGGTTCCAGACCATTGTCTTTGTTTTATCAAGTAACAGATGACTGCCCTAGAACAAAATGAAGATTGACCCACAAGAAGGTCGGCAGCATCAAGAATTGTTGCACAGTTGGTTATTGTAAAGCTGTTAGTGTGAATGATTGCTGAAGCATTCATTCAAGGGACGGTGTTAGGATTGAGCTTTACTTCCTGCACATGTACATTGTCCAGTGCGTGAAGAACATGCAACACTGACAGAGAACATTGGCATGTGGACATTGCCATGTCCATGATGCATTGGCTCAAGTGGCTCAAGATTGGCTCAGCCCAAGTGACACAAAAGCTTGCTGAGCGAGAGATTGCATCTGACAGTTGTATGCTTGTATTGTGGTGTGGTCAAGAACCATTGATTGAACAGTCATGTGTTTGGTAGTTTACATACAGTTTGATATTGTACAGAAAGTGACCTTTGAAAATTTCATTAAAGGGGTGCTTAAAGGGGGGCTTAAAGGGGGGGCTTCAAGGGGGCTTCAAAGGGGGCTTTAAGGGGGGGCTTAAGGGGGGGGCTTAAGGGGGGGTTAAAGGGGGGGCTTAAGGGGGCTCAAGGGGGGCTTAGGGGGGGCTTAAGGGGGGGGGCTTAAGGGCCCCCCCCGGAGGGACCCCCTTTGCAGGGACCCCTTGAAGGGGGGCTTAAGGGGGGCTTAAAGGGGGGCTCAAAAGGGGGGCTTAAGCCCCCCTTTGCCCAAAGCGGGGGGGCCCATTCTCCCCGGCAAACCCTGAAGCGGGACCTGGCGAGAAAGGTGACGCGCGACCACGTGGCCCCAGATCCTCCAAGGCTCTCCAAAGCAGCCACTGCAAAACAACGTCTTTGCGGGCTGTGGCGAACTCGCTGAGCCTCAGAAGCCTCCAGATGGTTCTTCAGCCGGGCCCTCAGAAGCTTCCAAAGTCAGCAGCCACGCAAACCACGTCTGCTACTTGTACGTTCAAACCAGACAGTACTGCTGTCGCTGTCGCTGTCCTCTACATGGAACCCAGTCGCAGAAATTAGACTTCCCGCATTTCCTCGACTTTACCCCTTAGAACGCGACACAGAATCCGCTGCATGATGTCCGACTTTACCACGTTCTCTCTCTGAAGTAGACACCTTTTTGACCCTCCAGAGACTATTCACAGCCAGAATTAGTCTCTGGAGGGTCAACAAGGTGTCTACTTAAGAGGAGCCGGGCCCTTGACTGGACCGGACTCCTAGGACTTGAGATGAGGGTGGATTTGGGTTCCGGTGAGTAGCATGTTACCTGGCTTGAATAGTCAGCATTCGCCCCAGTCTACTGCTTCCTTGTTGAAATTTTCTTTATTCAAACACGTGTCGAATGGCCCTTGAACTAGTTGTTGCACTCCTGGCGTGTACGAGGGGGTTTCTGATGTTCAGGCTTTGCCTTTCAGGCATGCAGAGTTCAAGGCAGGCATGAGTTTGGGTGGAAGTTTGGTTGTGTTTGTCGCGTTTAGGAATGTGACCGGGTCTTTGCATAACATTGTTTTGGGGCAGGATGTGGTTTGGTTGTGTGATCGGCTTTGCTTTAGGTTTCCGTGTGGTCAGAGTCTCTCCATGCGTGGTGGGGCGCATTCAGAATATCAGCTGTGGGTGGTTTACATAGCAGGCCACAGGCTTTTGTGCTTGGACGCTGCGCCTCAGCCCGAAGAAGCCCATGCTCGAAGTGATGCTAAAGTTTGGCATTCGAAGCTGGATAACTCAGGTTCTCGTGTATTCTCCAAGTCTGGTCTGCATCTTCATCGAATCTCAAACTTTAGACTCTGAAAGACCCATAACCAGATGGCTTTCGTCTTTCGTTCTTGACCTGCCTCAGATTCAGTTCCCCGACAACATTTATCAGTGCATACCTCAAGTCTCGATCATCCCAGTCTTGCTCGCGAAGGATCGATGATTTCGATGCCTTCCCGCTTGCGCCTGACGAGCGCAGCTGCCAGAACCACTGTTGGGACAGTTGCACTCCCTGGGTGACGGGGCAATTTGTTTGCAATGGTATAGTTTGAACTCAGGGCGCCAATACTGTTTCTCATTATGGGCAGTCGGCACGTACACAGAATAGTTTAGGATGGTACGGGTATATTCTGCTTATGGCTTCGAGTTGAGGATTGTCGGGCTTATGTCAAGGATGAACCATAAGTTCGTTGCCGAGCTGCAGCACAAGGAGAGCCATGTGTATAGCCAAGCCCTTTGAGAGCAGAGGGTGCGCGTACACGTTTTGACACAGTCTTTGAAACCGAGCTTCAGGATTCGGGTTTCGTGAGGGGTGATTTCAGCGCAAAGCTCCAAAGTTTCTCCTGCCTGTGACGACAATGCCTTCTGCTATCTTTACGTATATCTGTCCGAAAAGGCCATATGGACATGCGCTGTACATTCACTTTATGGGGTGTCTTTCTGGATTCTGGCCTTCAGGTGCCATCAATTCACTTCGGTCTGCTTCAGTGCTCGCTGGGTGAGTCGGATTGCAAATAATGTGGGTTTTCCCATGCTTGGTGGCCACCGACCAGTTCTGCCGGGCTGCCTGAGGCGTCCAGCTTCATGACGAACATGTCAGCAGCCCCCGCGTTCGTGTTGCCATCCAGGTCGCCGAAAGTGTATCCGGCAACCAGGATGCCGCCATCGGGGGCCACCTGCTCCCAGGCGGGTCACCAGCACTTATGCCCATCACTTGCACCCTGCTAACCGCTTTGTAAGAATCTTCACGACAACTCGCACGTCCACGAACCCAGCAATGCATGTCAAGAGCACCTGCTGCTGTGTCATGCGGGGCTGTAGCTTCGTGCGAGTTGGGCAGTACCTTTGTGCCAAGCCAATTTCGCCGGCACGTCATGGGCCTTTCGGGCCTTACATCCATGGCTCCGACAGGAGTCCTGAGCCCGGCAGCTCTTACAACTGAGAGCGACATCGTGCTGCCACAGGACAGTCTCAGTCGGAGAAGACAGACTGCGCATGTCCTTATTGTAGGCAATGGCATGGCATCGCACTGGTGCTCCTTATGGATATTTGAAAGTGGCGAGGTTTATTCGATGGAGCTGACGGCAATCAACGAGGTTACAGGATTCCGCTGGCTCCGCAGCCGCTGCAAAATGCGCCTCTTATCTTCTGGCGCAGGCTCGCAGAGGCTCTCCGAGTCCCTGCCAACCTCGTCAAGTTCCGAAGAGGAAGACATTGTGGACAGTCCTGTAGCAGTGTCGAAAGCACACTCACCCTTGAAAGTGTACCTGGAAGTAAATGGCAAAGTATTATGCGGTTTTGAATGGGGTAGATCTTCAGACATCACAGACGAAAGGCAGAGCAAACTTGATGCAACTGTTGATCACATCTTTGCGAATTACGCTACAGAGCATACCGATTGTGATCCCGACTTGTTGCTAGATGGAAATCGAATAGCAGTCCGCCAGTCCCTGTGCAGCTTTTTCAGGCGACTTTCGAAACAAAGCTACATTATGTCGCCTAGCTTTGAGCTAGACCATGAAGGAGGCCAGTGGCGTTGCAAGAACCTTATCCGCATTCAGAACACCTCACCGCATGATCTTCGAGCGCGTGCAGCGGATGTACCGCTCAATGACGCATGGTACGACTTATTCTTCCACAACTGCCAACTCTTCATCATGCAGCTGTTGTGCGAGCAGTATGATGCCGATTTCAGGCAGCTGCCCCTCGCAGTAGGATCGGTTGTTGCTGCCCCGACATTGTTCGCGCTTGAAGTTGGGTTTATCACAACTTTTCGATTTCTTTTGCGTTGGCAACCTGCTATGGCGATGCTTATTGGTGTATTGTGGGTTGCAGCAGAAGTGTATCTCACTTTGAGGTACGTGCACTCCTACGATGTGCGTCCCACGAGTGGGATCGTTATCGGCAGCATCGGTACGATGTTTGTTTGGGTTGGAGCCGTGTTCAACAGGACCCTTCACAACGATGACACCGATATTGCCGACTCGCTTCCGGTGCTCAGCCTCATATGGGATTTGTGCATGATCTTGGAGGCATTGGCCACCAACATGATCTATCGTGATCGCAGTCTGCAAGTGCTTAATCTCGTGTTGATTGTTCTGACAGCTGCTGGCGTTGCTGGTTTGCAGTTGCTCATCGGATGGCCTGTGCAGGACCTCTTCGGCGGAGTTGTGGTGGTGATGGCGCTTTGCTATTCGGTTCTTTTCGGCTCCTAGATCCTAGAGTCTTAACTCTTGTGTCCGCAGGCTGCATGTCGCGAATCGTTCACGTCTCTTGTTTTGAGGGTGGACACCAGAGCCATCTTGTAACTACTGTACGAGGCCTCGAAGAGGCATCCTTTGTACGAGTTGTTTGTGCCAGCCTCTGAAGGGGGCGCAACCGGCACACGTCAAAGTCTTCAATTTCTGGCCACCAGAGAAACCGTGCCATGCAAGGTGCTCGAGGTTTGTCCTTGTAAGCCCGAAACCCTTGACTTTCAGCCCTGAAGCTCGACATCCCAATGCAAAACACCGAACCCAATTGAGCCCTATCACAACGGCTGAGAACCCCAACAAGAACAGCCAACACAGGCAACTTCTGTTAGCAATGATTTGTCGTACAAGTAAGAACGACATGCAGAGGCAGCAGTGAAGCGATTGTTGATCCCGACTCTACCGCTGCATTAATATTTAAATTAGACCAGAAAATATTTAAAACTCATGCACAAAAGCCTTGCAGTCCTAAAGTTCTATACCCAGAATCCCACACAGAGTCACGCCGAGAGGTAGAAAACCCTCTGGCGCGTGAGCGCTGCATCATTTGGAGCTTGAAGCTGGCGGAGGATGCTGCTCCCAGGTTGTGCTCGGATATATCTAGTGCACCTGCTGTCTGTTTGAGTGTAACTAGAGATGTTTAGCAAACGAGATTGGGGTGTTCAGCGCATTTCGGACCTTGAATGTTTGGGGACTAGCACTTCATTGAGGTTTTCAGTCATAATGATGTCAGGTTGCAGTAGCCGACTTGGTTTTGCCTTGGCTTCTTCGACTATTGGAGCATCGACGAACACAAGTCTGCTCTTCAGATTCGTTGTAGAGTCCGAGGGGCAGCCAGAGAGCCCAATACGCTTTAGTTTTCTTGCAGTGCAGGATTCCGGCAAGGGGCCTTTAAGGGTCCTTGGGGGTTCCTGGGAGGGTTTAGGAGGGCAGTGAGGGGCCTCGAAGGGTTTTTGGGGGCTCCTGGGAGGGTGGAAGGGCAGTGAAGGGTCTCTAATCCCTCGTGCTTCCAGGGTCCCAGGGCGGGCAGTGAAGGGCCTCTAATCCCTCGTGCTTCCGAGGTCCAGGGTGGGACGGCATTTAAGGGCCTCTAACCCCTCGTGCTTCTGGAGGTCCCGCAGGGTGGGAGGGCATGTGAGGGCCTCTGATCCCTCATGCTTCTGGAGGTCCCATGGCGGGCAGTGAAGGGCCTCTAGTCCCTCGTGCTTCCGGGGTCCCAGGCGGGCAGTGAAGGGAATCCCTCATTGGAGAGGCTGGAGGGCTGGAGGGGCAGCAAGGCTGGGACGGCCCAGGGGCAAATCGGGTAAACGAGGTAAATGGGGTAAATGGGGTAAATGGGGTAAATGGGGTAAATGGGGTAAATGGGGTAAATGGGGTAAATGGGGTAAATGGGGTAAATGACGATTGGGAGGGCTTCGTGCATTTCCTGGGGTTGGCGGGGCGGCGGTAAATGGGGTAAATGGGGTAAATGGGGTAAATGAAGCCTTCGTAGAAGCATTTTGGGGCGTTTTACCCCATTTACCCGATTTACCGGATTTACCGGGCAAGAGGTTCACCGTCCGTGGAATAAACCCCTTGGATAAGCTGGAGAGCTTGTCTTATCTGTGGAATCTGTGGAGGCATGTTTGGGGCGTTTACCCCATTTACCCGATTTACCGGATTTACCGGGTCAAGAGGTTCACCGTCCGTGGAAAAACACCCCTTGGATCAGCAGGAGAGCTTGTCCCATTTTTTGTTTTGATTTTCCAAACAATATGAAAATTAATGCGGGAAAACGGGGTAAATCAGGTAAATCGGGTAAATCGGGCAAATGGGCGCGTCTGAGTCTATCTCTTTCATTTTTTTGTGTGTTTTTGTTTTTTTGTTCTTGTATTCCCTTCTTTCAGTTTTGCAGCAAAATGAGCTGAAAATGAACCAGGCCGGCACGGCCATGCTCTCTCTTAAGTAGACACCTTTTTGACCCTCCAGAATGAATCATATCGAATTCCTGCACTTCTGACGCTGAAAACACCAATCTCGAAACAGAGATGGAGCAGCAAGGCCGTAGACTCAAAACAAGTTTGCCCTTTAAGGCCAAAATAGAAAGTGGAGCGATCCGTCGAAATAATCGCCCAGAAATGTCGTGTTGGAGCTTCGGGGTGCAAAAAGGAGGGCGCAGCCCGGATAACCCCCGAAGCTCCAGGAGGGCATTTCTGGGCGATTCCTTCTGCGAACACTTTTTTTGGCCTATAAGGGCAAATTTGTTTTGAGTCTACGGCCTTGCTGCTCCATCTCTGTTTCGAGATTGGTGTTTTCAGCGTCAGAAGTGCAGGAATTCGATATGATTCATTCCGGCTCTGGATAGTCTCTGGAGGGTCAAAAAGGTGTCTACTTAAGAGAGAGCCTCAATGGCTGCTATTCCATGCTTTACAAGTTCTACCCGCAGCAGTGGCGGTATCCCTCTGCAAGCGACCTTGCCGTGCTCTCCACTATTCCGGCCACATACAGGCGCAAACCGGACGCCCGAGAATTCACAGTCACACGAGCAAGTGTTGAACAGAGGGTTCATGAATCCTATGCCCAATTTTCCCCTAAACCCTGAACCCTAAACTCTAAACCCTAAACCCGAAACCCTAACGTGGTGTGGATCTCACGAGCCCTGCACCCAACGCTACGTAGGCCCTTACGAGCTGTACGGGAGATAGAAAACCACAGGCCCGAGCCCTAAACTACATGCCTTGGGGGTCCGGGTAGATCGCGTAGGATCTCATGATTCAGTGCATCTAGCGTTCGAGAACGTCGGGAAACGGTTTCTTGTCGCGGCTTCTCCTTCGTTTGGTAAGGCTTTGCAACAAGTAAGCCATGGACCCAAGAAGGCTGAACTTTGGGGTTTAGGGCTTAAGGTTCAGTGGATTGATTTAGGGGCTACTGATAGTAGGGTTACCTTATTTGGGTCCCTTACTATAAGGAGATCCTACTATATGGGAATGTGTGGAGGGCGGTCCCAAAAATCGTGCAATCATCTGCCCAACATCAATGATGCTTGATTTACAGGGTTTCATTGAGCCACTCGTTATGGGACTGTCGTGGACCAAACCGAAGCCCAAAACCCTGAAGCCCTTCACCCACCCTGGAGCCCTAAACCCTATCAACCCAAAAACCCTAAACCCCCAAGCCCTAAACCCCTAAACCCCTACACCCCTACACCCCTAAACCCCTAAACCCCTAAACCCCTAAACCCCTAAACCCCTAAACCCCTAAACCCCCAAACCCTTAAACCCCTAAACCCGTAAACCCCTGAATCCTAAACCCTGCCTAAGCCCCAAAGTAGATAGAAGAGTATCCCAAAACCCATCAAAAAGTGCTACTATTTTAACATACTTTGGGGGTCCAGGTAAACCCTAAACCCTAAACCCCTAAACCCCCAACACCCCTAAACCCCCAAAACCCCCAAAACCCCTAAACCCCCAAAACCCCCAAAACCCCCAAAACCCCTAAACCCCTAAACCCCTAAACCCCTAAACCCCTAAACCCCTACACCCCTAAACCCCCAAAACCCCTAAACCCTAAACCCTAAACCCGAACCCTAAGCCCCACGATGGCACTTTGTGGAACCATGGGATCCTCCCTGTGCGGATCGGCCGATGACTTGACCTGCAGCATGCACTCCACAGTGCACGAATGTCGCTTCCCGCTGTGGGCCGTGAAGGCTAGGGGGGGATTAAGGGGCTTCGGGTTTAGGGTTTAGGGTTTTGGGTTTAGGGTTTAGAGTTTCTGGTGGGATTAAAGGGTTTAGTACAGTTTGTTTGGAGGAGCTTCTGAGTATCGAGGAGACGTTCGTAGCGTCGTGGGTTTCAAGGCTCCAATCGTCTTGAGGTCGGGCTTGAGGATTTTGGATTCCATAAGCCCTAACCCTCAACACAAAACATAAAGCAACCACCCCCATGCAAGCCCGAAACTCTCTGAAAACGCAGACTCAACCCCCCCCACGCCCCCCCCCGCCGGCCGCCCTACAGCCCACCCTAAACCCAGCCCCGGCCTCGAAATCCAGCCCCAACTCCCCCTAAAGTTTAGGGTTTAGGGTTTAGGGTTTAGGTTCTAAAGGGTTTAGGGTCCCCTAAACCCTAAACCTCAAACCCTAAACCTTAAACCCTAAACTAACCCAATCCTGAACCCTAATTCAAACCCTACGCCCTAAACCCTTCTCCTCCACCCCTTTGGCAGCTCTTTCTGCGCCCTTTTTGAGGTCTCCGACTTCTTGAAGATGACCGGGCCCCCTGAGTCTCACAGCGTCTTGTAACTGGGGCTCTGGCAGTGAAGAGCTTTGGGTTTATAGGGTTTTTAGATGTTTATCGGGTTTGTAGGGTTTATAGGGTTTATAGGGTTTAACAGGACCCCCTTGCAACAAGGACTCCTATGATAAGGTACCCCTATTATCGTAACCCCCCCCCATATCTGTGTTCAATCAAGGGCTTTCAGATTAAACAAGATGTTTGTTTTGGTATCTTGAATCAGGCTCCTGAAGACCCCACGCAACCCTGAGAAAAAGTCCCTCAAAGAGCACTTGTACAACCCTAAACCAGTCCTAAACCCGAAACCCGAAATCCTAAATCACAAGAACCCAGGCAAGAGCGGGGCTTGCTCCATCAGTGGTACCCTGGTATGTTCGTGATCTTCATCTCGCACCAGTGGCTGAGTTCCGTGCATCCCGATCCTTCAGGGCATCAGGTGCGGTTTTCGTTGAAACAAGGGGCACATACCCGTTTTCATCAGAACCAGCCAGGATCTTCGCCCTAAACCCTACGCACTGAAAGTTTATATCCCACATCCAGGACCCGAGCTGCAACTGAATCCCAAGGTGCAGGTTCTTCAGCAAGCACTCCGGGGCATCATCGACGGAGCTATGCAGGTGCACTGGTTGGGGTTTTGGCGTTTCAGGGTTCAAGGCTCAGGGCTTAGGGGTTTTAGGGGGCTTATGGCGTTTGTGGATATGTCGCCTGGGCTTTAATTCTTTTGGCATTGGGCTCCCAGTGCAGTTTGGGTCGAGTACGGGTCAAGGTTTTGCATGTGTCACGTTCCTTCTGGTGAGGCTCCCCTGAGGGCCAGCGTGTCTCTCCCTCCCTAGCCGGTGGCAGGTTTAAAGGAGCCTTGCTCTGAGGCGTTGACTGCGATCAGTGCGTAGCCTGGGCAAACACGGGAACCTATGCTTGATCACCCATGTATGAGACCTTGTCTTGGGATCCCCCCCTGCTCCCCCATCCTTAGTACATGCTCTACATGGTCGTAGCCTGCACCAGGGAAAGGGCGTGGTCATGTTGCTTCTGGTGAGGCTGGCCTTGGAGCCAGCCTTCCCGATGGCCTTATGGGACACGGGTGGGCAGTGGTTGCTTTGCATCCTCGGAGCTAGTTTTCTTGTTCTGGTGGGCCAAGCGTCACGTTTCAAGCTTCAGGTGCACGAGTCCCTCATCGCTCGGTCTGATGACAAGAGCCTCTCGCCGCAGACGCGCCAGTGCATTGCTGACGGTTTTATCTTCTTCGACTGGTTCGCGATCCCTCAGATCACAGCCAGGAAGCACGGGGTGAATGAGGAAACCACGAAGAGCGATGCAGCCCTGGCCGTGCAAAGCATCCCGGCCTACGTGGAGCTGTCGAATCTCTTCATCGCCTTGGTCCCGGATCTGACACACAAAGATTCTGGCTTCTGTTGAGGAACATAATCGAAGTGACCATAACTCGTAAGGCGTGCTATATACAGTTTGTCCCGACTACGGTAAATTGAACGAGGATAGAAACAATTACTGCAGCTTATGAAAACTCGGAGACTTTAAACCCTGAACGCTAAAGCTTGAACCCTACACCCTAAGCCCTAAACCCCAAACCTCTAAACCCTAAACCTCTGCACCGTATACAACCAAACCCCTAAACCTCAAGACCCTAAACCTTTACACCCTATGCCCCCAAACCCCTAAATCTCTCAACCCTATTCGCCTTACAAGAGACAAGGATTCCTTGGAGCCAGTCAATTATGCGTCCTGGCTTTCTCGAGGGTGGCTTGGGCCTCACTGGAGAACCCCGAAGTCCCAAAACTCAAAGCCTACAGTTGTTGAGGGTTTAGGGTTTAGTGTGTCGGGTCTAGGGTTTCGGGGTCCGTCTTGTTAATTTTTTGGTCAGCATAGAAACAGCGGTCACTCAGGTATAGGGATACCGATCAGAAGGGCAACAGTTATGGCAATGCCGTTGAGTGTGTCCTGTTCCCGCCTTACAGCCAAGACCCCTTGTCATGTCATGGAGACTGCAGAAACTGAGAACACTTGAAGGATCAGTGAACTCATATAGCAAGTAGGATAGAACTTGGGTTTAGATGCACCAACTGGAGTTATCTTTGTCATACCTTGATTACTAAGTTACTAAATCCCTCAGCCTGCAAGCGACTCTCTCTCAGGTGGTGTCGCGCTGAACTATGGTGTCGGCTGCTGTCCAACAAGTATGACACCTCCGTCGTCGTGGTTTATACGCCGACGGAGGCTGAGTTCATGTTTCCCCTCGACTGGCAGGATAACAGCGCCGCGGATGGGAAAGAGTGCTGCCCCAGAACCCTTTAACCCCAGAACCAGCAAAGGTTTAGGGGTGTAAAGCATAGAGGGCGTAGTCTATCCCGAAGTTCTTTGAACCTTGTGCGCTCAAGTGCGCATCATCAAGGCATTGTGGAGGGGAACTTCACCGTGGAGGCGGATCGGTCGGAGGTCGTCCGCCTGGGGCAGATCGTCGTGGAAAGCAAAATCCGATATCTGCAAAAGGAAGGTCACTTGGAAGCTGCTTTATGTTTGGGGTCCTACAAGGGAACTCAGAGGGAAATAAAAGTCACTAAGACCTCATTATGGAAAGGCACTGAGACCTGAATATGGAGTATAGGAATACTTGTGATTTTCCTTGCAAGTGCACGAAGGTCCCTTGATCCACTACCGCTTCTACGCGGCCCTTCGCCCCAAGCTCTTGCAACAGGAAAGGCGGGACCGAGATCTCGCGAGCTTCCTGCGACAGTTTCGTTACGATACTCTGGACGTGGCGGCACAAGACCGGAGCGGAATGAACGCAGTCATGTGCGCGACGCTCTCTGGCGATACGGCCCTGCTGCGACTGTTGGCCGAGCAACGCGCGAGCATGAACCATAGCCTGGAAGGCATGAGCGACTTGGGAGACTCTGCTAAAAGTAGTTGCTTGTTACTTGTTCCCCTTTTCTTCTGAGAGGTCCGCAATGACAGGGTAGCAGTGCGAACTCAGGATACTACGACACGCAGACACCCCTTATGGCAGCAGTGAAGTCTCAGCAGGATGTTTCCGTGCTGGAAGCGCTCATTGAGCTCCGTGCAGAGATCAATGCCCGTGCCAGGACGGGCCTCGTCGCCATGTCCTTCTGCCGATCACCTGGGCATGTGAGAACGTTGCTAGAGCACCGTGCCGAGATGACGCCCTCTGCTCTCTCCGGGATGGCATCCTTTGGCGGCCCTGAATGCCTCAGCTTACTCCTCTCCCGTCGGTGTGACATCAACCTGACGGAGGACAACAGGCATGGCCCACTGCAGGCCTTGACCCTGTTTGCACGTGGTAACAGCAGAGCCGTTGAGACAGCAAAGTTCCTGCTGGAGCGGCGTGCTGACGTCAATGCTCGCATGGTGCTTCCGCCCAAAGGGAATTCAGCAGTTTTTGGGGTAGAGCTAGCGAGAACCATCAAAAGTTGTATCCTGAAATTAGGGACGCTGAGCTCGGCAGCTCCCCCGTTTCCTTTAACCCCCCCCCCCCCCCCCCCCCCCCCCCCCCCCCCCTAACGCCCCTACACCACGAGCCTGGATATCCCAGGCGCTCACAGGAGGCCCTGCTTTTTGGTGCCTTGCCGCCAGGGCAAGACTCGCCCTGGTAGGCTTCGAGAACGAAGGAGCGGGTTTTTTCAGAGAGTCTGTAACGCGTAAGGGGCTTAGTTTAGGGTTCTGGGAGGTTGACCGGAGCTCAAGGTTTAGGCTTTAGAAGCTTTAGGGTTTGCGTCTGCGGGTTGAGGGGTTGAGGGGTGTGAAGATTTTGAGTTCAGAGGTGTGTAAAGGTTCATTCGTTGAGCAGCATGTACGTTCCGAACTTGGGGGCTTCTTGGGGGCCTTCCGGGAGTCCTAAGCGACAAGCCCAGAAGCAAAAAGCCACGCCTCAATCCATACAACCCTCTGAAGTCCTAAGTCTGTTTTTCCCGTTCAAAGGTCACAAAGGCAGAGGGTCTGCAAGCCACGAGCCCTAACCTTGAACGACCAACGAAATCCCAACACCCTGGAACCCCAAGGCAGTGCGTTGATGCGACTCGCGGGCTGCATGGGCGGCATCTCTGCGCTTGGCTACGCTGCACTGATAGGCCCAATTTGTGCACCGAGATCTTTGGGTTCGGGGCTTAAGCACTGAGGAGTTTAGGGTTTAATTTGGGGTTTGGGGGTTTGGGGTTGAGAGTTCAGGGTTTAGGGCTCAGGGCCGCGGGGCTCCCCTTGTCGAGGCCATGAGCAACTGGCACAGCTCTACCTGGACAATGGGGCCGACCCCTTGCCAAATGATCGGGGCGACACACCCGAGGACCTGGCGAGGGCCTACCAACACTACCATCTACTGCCCCTGTTGGCGACCTTCTCGACCTGAAGTGCTGCTTTTTGTCTGGGTTCTAGTCAAGGAGCTGAACGGAAGTTATCATAAACTGATAAGCAGAACCCTATAAAAACCCCAAGAAGGTGAACACTTTGTCTTGCTACGTATGCCCAAAAGTCTCGTAACTTTGAATATGGAGCTCCTCGACACGAACCCAGCTTCGGGGATTCAAAAGCATCGCCGGTGGCCTGGCAATCTCAAGGATTGCTGGAAGGATCAGGGTTAAGGGTTTATCTAGGGTTTACGGATCAGGGTTTGGTGTTTAGGGTATATATAGCAAGTAGATCACAGAGGAAAAGCCATGTGGCGGTGCCGTTTCAGCGTCTCACGCAGCCCCACACCGAAAGTAAGAAAGCAAACTCTTTGTACCTTCAAGGTCTTTGGGGACAAAGAGCCTGGAACCGTAGTCTTGGGCCTTTAAAGACCTGTAACAAGGCGTGTACGCCCTATAGCAGTATTCTTGGTGGGGTATCGGGCATAGTGGGGAGGACCAACCGATAGCAATGCGACTTCGCGAAGATGCTCGGAGAGAAATCGGTCCAGAGCACTGTGAGAAACCTGTAGGGTATAGGGTTACAGGCTAAGCCCTATAAGCCCTTGCCCTAAACCCTGGTTGAACCGCGCGTTTGCGCTGAAGAGGTACGTGAAGTAGCCGTCCTGCGCCCAAAAGCTTTTGACCCCTTGCGTGGAGTTCTAGGTGGCACGTTTCCGAAGAATCATGTTCCCTTAGTGCCACTGTTGAGTGAACAATTCACAAGCAAAGACTAACTCCTTTGTATGTCTGGCACTTCTGATGAGGGAAAGCTGTTGAGAAATGCTCGGGGCTTTGGCGGGAAGACGACTTTGACCTTGCAAAGTTGGGGGAGGAGCCTGGGAAAGAATTAGTGGGGCTTTGCCACAGCTTGAGAAATTTCCAGCGACCTGCAAGCCAAACTGTTGCGGAAGCGCGAATTCAGCCCCAATGACACCCCAAACATATGCACGGCATGGCAGTGGAACGTGCTGGCCAAAGGCCAACAAAGTGGAGTGTTCATTGAATGTTTCGAGACCCGCCTACTGAGGCACTCACGCGTGTTCAAGGGGCCTCCATCCCACAAAAAAGGCTGGTAGCTCCAAGCTGCCAGTTGCAAACAGCCAGCTCCAAGTTAGACTTGACACCTGCAACCCCAAGCCCTCAACCCTATGCGCCCGAAAAAAAAGCAAGAATGCCCTTGAACTTGAAGGTGGGAGCCTTTGCCAACTCGCAGAGGAAGGATTGCCTCCTCAGGGGTTTAGGCGTTAAAATAGGGCTTAAAGGGTTTCGGTTTTAGGATTTACGGGCTAGGGTTACAAGTTACAATAAACCCTAAAGATAAACCCTAAAGCCGAAACCACACTTAGGTGTTAGGAGTTTTAGGTTGTCGGTTGTTGGACTCATGGCGTCAGGCGTTGTAGATTCGGGCACTATACTTAGAATTTCTGTCAGGCATTCCAAAAGAAAAAGTATTAAACAAATAAGTGCGTGGCCATTTTCTTTTTCAAGACAAGAAACTGTCCCAATCGTACTCCTCTGGACATCACGAATGATGCAAAAGTGCTCTGATCAACTTCGCCGCACGAACAGTGAAAAACATCACAGGTGGTTTTGACTCCCCTGCAACCTTGAGCTTCCGTTCCACAGCGGCTTGCAGCTACAATGACCTGCTGAAAACCTTCTGCAAAAAACCAGGCCCCACTCAGGCTCATCGCAGAAGAATGCACCATCCACTTTGACCGAACAGCGGGGAAAGTGTTGGACACTAAGACCACGCGTGACTTGGATTCCAAGCCAAACAACATAAGCAACACAACGTTGCAGGCACGCCACTCTTCAGATCATTGATTGTTGTCCGCTCAACCTGCTAGCTGGCCCTTTGGCTGCATATACTATATAGGAATTTCAAGCATTAGCCACCAAAACGTTCCCAGACACCCTTGGCATGTCCTCACGCCACGAAGCAGACCACGCATTTGGAGCAGCAGGAGGCGCAATTGAAGCCTTTTTAACATTACTAGAGCTTTTGGAGTTTCAACGGAAAGGCTCATTATGTCTGGCTGCAGCCGACTCGAGCCCTGCATGCCGCTGCAAGCGTACGGCATGGATTTTCAGGCGCGCTTTTCCGGTCTTCACTGATTCACCATTCTGACATGTCCTATACACGTCGTATGTCCTAGCTGTCCTAGCGGTCAGGCTTTCGCAACCAGTCCTGGGCAGGTGCGCCTTCCAGCGTTGCCTCCTGCCCGCAGAGAGTGGCAGCTGGAATCTGGAGAAGGTTGGCTGCCTGCAACTTTACGTCCCAAATGCTGCCGAGAAATCTTGCAGAAGACGTCCAGATTGAACGCCGAGGCTTCGAAATCGATGTTTCGGGATGTGCGGCATTGGGCCCTGGACAGGCGAGGTGGCAGTTGCAAGTGAAATGCAACAAAGGACACTCAACAAATCTCAACAACACAACGGGAGTCCGCTTCACAATGCTTCACAGCTCAGCCTCGAAGCCATGTGAACACACCCTGTTGAAGATAACTTTGAACAAAATCAGACTGGCAGTGGACAGATGATAGGCTGTCCGTGCCGCCAAAAGACACGTGGGGCAGCCTCGTTCCTTCTGCTGTCGTCAGGCATGTCTCACTGGCTGCCGATCTCCATTTGTGGGAGTCAATATCATCGGCTGGCCGGCCACTGCGCCAGCAAGTGAGTTGCGTAAAGAGAGGCGTTTGCAGGAAGGCTGCTGGGCTGTCCCTAGGTCCTAGCACTTGTCATCGTACAGTTAGCGAAACATAGAATGGGTTGTGTGTGCGCGCGCGTGGGTGTGTGTGTGTGTGTGTGTCTTTTCCAGTTATGTATCGATTTGTTTTACCTTTTTGGGGGCTTGGGGGTGTGTCATGTTTGCGTTCATTTTTCACCTCCGGTTACGACGCTTCTGAGGCCCGTTACTTGTTTCGAGAGATGCGGCCATGGACAGAGTGGGACCTTACCCGAGTTTGGATGGTTCCGATCAGTCTTGTGTGCAAGTGCAACATGACAACCAAAAGATGAACATGTGGCACGTGAGGCGATCATCACAGCCAGCATGGGATGGAGATGATGGAGGCAGCGGGGGCCTTGCAGTGCCCGCAGAGTGGTCCTGCCGAGTGTCCCTGGAATGCCCCTCGCCCCCAAAGAAGCCCGCAGAGAGTTCCGTCAAGTATCCCTGGGCCCCCAGAGAAGCCCGCCAGAGTATTGCCGAGTATTCCCGGAGTGCCTCCCGTCAACAAATTCCGCGGAGAGTCCCACCAAGTATCCCTGGCCCGCAGAAGTCCCGCCGAGTGTCCCTGGAGTGCCTTTCTTCAGAGAAGGCCGCAAAGAGTCCCGACGAGTATCCTGGAGCGCCAACCGAAGAAAAGCTCGCAGAAAGTCCCGCCGGGTGTCCCCCGAATGCCCGCCCTCAGAATTTTAAGTGTCCACCCGTCGGGTAAGCCTGCACAGAATCCTAACAAGTATCCCGAAGTAACAAATTCCAGAGAAGCCTGCGGAGACTTCCGCCGCGTATCTTGGAGTGCCCAAGACTCCCGCCGAGTAGTTTTGCAGAGCACCCGTCCCCAGAGAAGCCCGCGGAGAGTCCCGAGTATCCCTGGCCCACACCCAGAATGCCGAGTATCCCGGAGCAGCCTCAGAGAGAAGCCACGCAAGGGTCTTACATCCCTGGGAGTGCCCTGAGAGAACTTCTCGGAGATTGCGACACTCAAGCCTGCAGCGAAGTATCCGTACTTGCCCGTCTACCTGCGGCAGGATGGCTCCCATATCAGCTGTAGGGTGGGGATGATTGAAGTTCATAATCCGAGTGGAAGGGATAGCAGTCATGTGGATATCTGCAGGTTCATCTAGACCGAGAGGTAGAAGGAATGAGCTGACCCTACCTTGCCTTGCATGAGACTGTGCTCAGGATAGGATCCAAAGAAGATCGACTTCCCTGTGGACCTGGTATGTGTTTCTCTCAGAACTTAGAACCTGGTTTGCTTAGCGTCACCCGAAGCCGCGGCTTCTGCAAGCGATCTAGCACTGATCTTCAGCCCTAAAATGAAGTAACCGTGCAGAGCCTCAGCCTTAAATCAAGAGTCGTTCAGCACAGGGTCATGTCGGAACCTGGAATGAGTTCGCCACGCAGTTGCGGCCAGGGTTGTGCAACCGAGGTGCAAAGGCATGCCCAGAACCTGATCCTCTTCCTGCAGGCTATGAGAAGGCTCCTTCCGAGTCTCTTCGAGCTCTGAGTTGTCGACCGAGTGCGGAGCCATGCGGACCTTGGCGTCGCTCTCCTCTCCCGAAGGTGAATGGCGAATGGCGGTGTGCGCCTGGCTACCTCGGGTCTGCCGTCGCGGAGTGCATGGCCAATGGCCCGGCAGTCAATGGCACGGAGTCTGTGTGCCAAAGTTCATGAATTCAGGGAGGCCACGCCCCGTGTACTGAGTGTACATAGCTGTTGCCCAGCATGAGTTAGCTTGCGGGCTAAGCAAGGTTTTCTGCAGGAAAAGCACGATAGAACAAAGCGACGTTTGGCGTCGTTTGACCAAGGTCGACTCAATCTTCAGCAGCAGTTCAAGGACTGTTGTTTGCGCGGTGCGCAGCTTACGGAGTGGCTTAACGTGGCTTAGGGTGGGAATCTCGAATTGCCGGGTGGTGAATGAACGTGAAGACAAATACGTTGATTGTTCAAATTGTCAAATCATGTGAGCTGTGAGGCTCGCTTGGATCTCACTGGCTATGATCCTCCCACGTTGGATCAGCCCAAAGCTCAACAAAGCTCAACATGATCTCAGCTTTTACTCTTACAGCAGCCGATCTTCACGCCGTTGCATGTCCTTTGCAGGCCCTGCAAAATTTGCAGATGCCGACTGGCACACAATAGCTCACTGCTCCTGAGTCCTTGCCCGTTTCGCCTTCAGGTGCATCTACGATGTATCGGACTGCCTCAGTGCCGCCCCGCCCTGTCCAAGGTTCAGAAGTTGGAGTGGTTAGCGGTTAAGGTCGATGAATCGTTGCCTGAGCCAGGTTCCCATTAGATAGACTAGCAGGATTACCACACACGCTCGCTTCGATGCCGGAGTCCACCTTACGAGGCCAGGACACAGTCAAATGCAACCCAACAGTTACTCGTTCAGTCAAAAGAAGGGCTGTTTGGTCCTCAGATGTCCTCAGGGCACTCCGGTAAATGCCTCTTGTCCCTACGGCAACCTGGATCCGTTTCGCGCTGGCGTGCCAGCCTTACAGAGCTTCGTGCGCCGATCAGAACACGAGTCGACCTGCTTCCTCCAATCGAGCGCAGCGCTTGCAACTGGTGTTTGGGATCAGACAGAACTCACAGACTGAAGTTGGCCTCAAGGACTTCGAGCCACCGACCTGTGAGCTGCGCTGTCCAGTGCAGGAGGCAGAGCAAATCAGAGCAAGTTGATCCGCAGTCTTCTGTCACAGTTGCACCCTCCGATCTTCCCCCAAGTATCCCCACCTCGTCATCGGTAACCACACGCGCCCGAACATAGCGACTGACTTAGGGCATGCACCTTTTTTTCTTCTCAGTGGCACGTGTGCTCAGTAGCTCGCCTGGTTGAATTGCGCTAGGTGTTACCGGATGGCTACAACTACACCAACGGGAGCTATGTTTACCTTGACGATTCGGATCGGTTGTGGCAGATCCTTGCAAAGCAGACCAAAGCAGCTAATGAACGTAAGCGCGCGTGCAAAGTATTCGCTGTAGCATGCTCAAAGCCTGTTTCTGGTGTCAGAGTCGACTTGCCCGGACGGTGCTGAGGAGTGCATCGCGAATGACGAGGACGCGAGTCTTGCTTTTGGACGGTAGTGCTCCGTAATAGGTATTCCAGAAGATTCGCAGACTGCAGCAAAGTGGACGTGCCTGTGGCCGCAACAATTTGAGGACTGCACCTTTGGCGTCGCACTGTCAGGGTGTGGACAAAGTTCTCCTTGCGTGGGTTTGCCTGCTGCCCAGAGAAATGACATTTGCTTGCAAAAGGCTAGCTTTCTTAGAGGCTAAGCAAGCAACGGCAAGCAGGTCTTGCTTGCCCTTGGATTCATCCCTTACCAAGGCCGTCCAACCCCACCGACGGATGCTATTTTGACGTATCTGCCCAGGCTGCGCGAGTCTGTGTACGCCGTTTACGCACGTTTAGAGACAACTAGTTGCTAGTTCCAGGAGTGCGAACCTTGCTCTTGGGCGGCTGTACTGAAAAACCCTTCGTGGCCATCTGGGCTCCAATTGGAAGCTTGCATGGAATGCTTCCGACCGCCTTGTTCTGGCTTGAACCGGGTACGCCCAATAGCCGCTTGGCCGGTGGGCGTGGACGGTGCATTGGGACAGAGGGCTGTCGGGGTTGTTGTCAAAGTTGCGTGGCGAAAGAACCACTGCTGTAAAGATTTCGACTGCTGCATCTTTCCGCGGGCAGCTCAGCATGGATCCGGTTGTGGGTCAAGTAGGCAACAAAGGGCATACAAGGGCCTTCAAACCTGAGTGTCCTAGTGCCAACGGCCATTCCCGCTCGGTAGATGCTTGTCTTGTAACATCCTTGAATCCCCCAGCTTACTACACCATTAAAACCTTATAGTGGTCAGTCATCCCTCAGTCCTAGAGCCTCAAACCCTGAAGTGCCCAAGGCCCTACTTTACCGTAACACCTAAGCTCAATCTCTCAAGCCCTGCCTACTTCTACCCCACCTCCACCCAGCCAGCCACCCCGCCATGCATTCTATGGCTTGTTTATGGCCTTGGCCTTGTTTCCCCTGAAGCACAAACCCTGAACCCTTTAAACCCTAAACGTATGTTTTGGTCAAACTCGCGCCTTAACACCCCGCACAGCCTTCAGTAGCGCTCAGGGGGGCTTGAGGCATTTCACGTTCGAGGGTTTGGGGTTTAGGGCTCGGAGCTTCAGGTTGGGGCTTTAGGGCTGTTCAAGGTTCAAGGGTTTCAGTTTTCAGAAGGGGCTATAAACGGGGAGGGTGAGGTGTGAGCCCTAGACTCTAAACCCGAAACTTGGTTCGAGCCGCTTGAAAAGGCCCGAACCTGACTTTGTCCGTTTACATTTGGAACGCCAGGACAGTGGCCTGCGCAGGGGCTTGCCCTGGCCCAGCCCAAATCTCAACAAGACCATCTGCGAGCCCACGTCAACCCAACATTCTTGATCTAGGAAACCGATGACAGCCGCCAAGGCAATGCCGCTCATCGAGGTGCTGTGTCGACAGTTCCAGAAGCGGCATCGCCACGCGATTCTGGCTTCTTGGACGAAAATTCCAAAGATAATGTTCTAAGCTGCCCCAAGTTGTGGAACAATTTGGTGTTGACACACATATTGCATCAATGCTGCTGGAGGAACTCTGGTTGAGCTGCGACCGCCAGCCAAGCGCCGGCCCTGCGCCCCCGGCACAGCTCCCGCAGGGCCCGCTGGAAGAACTGCCAGTCCAGGTGCCTTCGGGCTCAGTGCACTGCGCTTATTGTGGTTTAGCCTTGTTTTTTTTTTTCGGGGTGTCGTGTACTAGCAGGACAAGCTAGACAACTTGTAAATCGATGCGGCGTGAAATGTGATAAGGTTTGCTTGACATTGGCATAACAGTTGCTTCTGTAAGAACATTGTCGTCTATGGAGCAATGATCGCTTCTCACAGGGCCAGCTTGCTTCCATCAAGCAGTTTGGGAAGGGTCTGCGTCTCCCACCGTGTGGGCCAGGGAAACCAGCCAAACCAGCGCGACGTATTATTTCCCACCCTCGGTGTGCGGCTGTTAGATTTTAAGTCAACCATGCTCCTCGCTTCCTGGTGTCCCGTTACTGGAGTGCCCGCAACCACCAGAGAATCCCGACGAGTATGTTTGGAGTGCCCGCCCTCACAAAAGCCCACAGAGGGTGCCGCTGAGCATTGCTGGAGCGCCAACCCCCATTGAAACCCACAGAAAATCCCGCCGAGGATGCCTGGAGGCTAATTGCTCATACTCATTCCTTCATTAGATTAAATGCCAATTGCTCATTAAAGCGTACTACGTATAAGTTCCTAGCTAGTACTTACTAATTCTTTAATATTCGTTTCCTTATCTCACACTTCTAGGTACGAGTTGGGACTACATTAAGTAAGTATTGACTACGATTTAGTTATTATTCAGCGTTTGTTCTTTAACATTGTGTATCCAGGTTTTAAGGAATAATTGCTAGATAGGCAGATTTATGTACAAAGTATAAAGCAAGACCTGTTAATTGCACAGCATATATCCAAAGTTTGTTCAAGAGCAATTGGAACGGACGACACTTCATCATGACGTACAAACTACTACAATTTTGAGCAGGTGTGGCGGGTCGAACACCGAGAGGGTTGTGGATCGCAGCCAGATTTTCGCGGTAGCTACGCGCGCTAGCGCGATTTTGAGGAGGTCCCACAGACCCTACACCGCGCTTTTGAGTTAACGTGCCAAAAAAGTCGCGAAATCCATCACGCCATCCATCACGACTTCCATCCATGCATCAACGATAACGAGGAACCTTCTTGAAGCCCACCTCCGCTGAACAACCTCGCCAGGATTTCGGGAGAACAAAACCAGCCTGAAACCACAAGCGTGTAAATTACAGGAGATTTCTGAGGAAGTGCGCCTGGTGGGTTGGGGACCCAAGGTGGGGATTTTTGGTTGAAAATGTACCACCAACTGGACGGTGTTGCGCCCTCGGCCCCCACTCCCAGCACGACGAAGAATGCCCAGTAACAGGGGCGGGTGTGGGAGAAATGAATCGTTCGCGCATAGGTCGCCTTCCCGCCGGTTGGGCAGCGGCAGACCATGGCTGCCACACAAACCGGCCGCAACCTGGGGGCGCGCAGCGGAGCTATCAGCTCCCATGGGCCATGCGCCTTTGGTGCGGCTTCAGCCGCCAAGAGCACAGCCGAGGTAGGCGTCAGCAAGGAAGCTGATGCGTATTTTGTTGACCGGCATTGTGCCGCCAGAGACGAGACTTGTAGGGTGTGTGTTGGACAACTATAGCCAGAATACTTTCGAAGGCAGATGGGTTGACTGCCAAGCAGCTTGTCGCAGCAGCGACAGGAGTGGCGACAATTTGCGCAAACGCGCCCATCTTTGGGTGCCTTGCCGAGGAGTGCCACTTGTGTGTACACCCGAGCTTGTTTCGAGAGGTTTGGATGTGCAAGTCAAGATGGCCGAGGATGGTCCATGTGTGTGTTGGACGACTACAGCCACAATACTTTCGAAGGCAGATGGGTTGATTGCCGAACAGCTTGTCGCAGCAGCGACGAGGGTGGCGACAATGACGGTGATGAGGGACTGGTGCTGCAGCAGGTGATCGAGCCAGCTGCCGTGGTTCAGGAGGCTGCGGCTGTGCAGGCCGTGGTGGGGCCCGGTGGGTTGCATGAGCAGAGTCCTAGTTCTGAAGCTTCAGGGTATGGAGGTTGGTGTGGGCGGTTAGGGTCATAGGGTTTCGGGGAGCAGCCAGGTAGTATACCGAGAGAGATGTGTGGGTGCAGCGGAAGCAACTGGGCGCAGGCGAAACAGATCGAGCCGACTGTACTGGCTGATGCTGAGGAGGCAAAATCTAGCCCCGTAGGTGGAAGTCAATATGGGTTCAATGTAGCCAATTTGTTTGGGGTTGGTTGAGGTTGCCTGGTTGCGAAAGCTTCAGGACGGTTGAGGCTGCCCTGCCGCCGATTGGGTGCTGTCTTTATCCATGAGACAAAGAGCTTCGGTAGGGTGTGCTAGAGTATGCCGAGGGGTGTGGAAGGTTGGAAGAGGCGAGTAGGCGTGATGAGGGGTGATGAGGGGCTGGCTGGTATGCAGGTTGAGGTGCAAGGGTTGAGCAGACAGGGGCAGGTCCAAAAGGATGTTCAGACGATCGAGCCGGCTGCCGTTGCTGAGGAGGCCGTGGTGGAGGCCCTGTGTGTTGCAGAAGGCAGAATCCTGACACTGAAGTTTGATGGGCGCTTGGGGCCTTGGGCTGGAGCAGCCAGAGCTTGTGGGTGTTGGGAGTTTTTGGGCGGGCAAGTCTGCGGAACCAGCCGGGCGCAGGTTCAAGAGGGTGTGCAAAAGACGATCGTGTTCGGTGCGGAGGATAAGGAGGCGTGGCATGTTGCTGCCGGTGAAACCTCCCAAGCTCCAACTATGTGTGATACTGAGCCGCGTGGGAGTCTCAGCGAAAAATGCGAAGAAAAACAGAATGGCCGATCTGAGACTTGCATAGACTTGCAAGCTGAGGTGTGGGATGAGTATATTGTATGTAGCCTGTCAAGGTTTTTGAGGCATTTCGATGCATCGGGCTTGGGGGTCCCTGCAAACCCTGAACCTCGAAGCCCTACGTGTTCTAGAGTTTTCGGGCATTTCGGGTTCTGCCTGGGCGTGCCACAGCCCAGCCAGTGTCCTGTGCCAGGAGCCTCGGAACTTGTCTTGCAAAACAGGTGCTGGTCCAATGGAGGAGATATGGGTAGGGCTTAGGGCTTTAGCGGTGATGCGGCTCGCAAAACAATGCGTCATAGAAGGTGAGAGCCTGCAGAACTATGGCGGCTGTCCCCGTTAAAGATACCTGTAAAGCTATCGGCACTTCACAACACGAAGAGAGATGATGTCATCTCTGGCCCTCCACTTGCCACATCGGGGCTCCAGCAACCTATACAAGTTACCCGCTAACCTACGAGATGAGGCCACTGGAGGGTTCGAGAACAGCTGCTCCTTGAGGTTCTCGGCTATCAGCCTTGAACACCAAACAGACACACAAACAAGCCTAAACTTGATCCAAGAGAGCCCAATACGCCCCCACAAATAAAAGGAATATGCCATCAGTAGTAAACCGTAAGTCAGAGCAAACGAAGCCATACATAATGTTGAAGATATATTGGATCTTGCCCAGTACCCCGCAACATACTTTAGGTCATAGTAAAAATAAAGCTTGAGGCATATTGCTAAGTCAAGGGGGCATTGGGTTTGCAGGTGTTGACGGGGATGTTTGTTGGGGGAGCAGTGCTGTTGTCAGTGGTTTCTTGCATCGGTTGACAGGGGCTGGTTCTTCGACCTGTTCAAGGCTGGGTCGCATGCGCACGCCCAACAAAGCGGGGTTGGACACACATCTGCCTGCGAAGAAGTGCCAATCGTGCAGGTTTGCCCGTGCCTGTCGCGCCTTGCGCTCGGTGAGATGGTGCATAGCTGGCCTGGGCACAACGTTTTACGCCAATCTAGGACGGGCCGAGGAATTCGCCTGTTTGTGTTCCATGTGGTAGCTCTGATCGATCAGAGCCTGCCTTGCGCATCTCACCTTGCCAAGATCTGCCATTTGTGAGCCTCGCCTTGTCAAGAAGAAACGCTTTGAGTCCAGCTTCGGGGTTTGCGCGCCCTAGCTGTGCTTTTGACTTACTGCGCAAGCAGCTGCGCAAGAGACGGTCGGTAAGATCGGTAAGTCCCAAGGTCCATTTCTTGGACAGTGGCGGTGCTTACACATGCATGGTTAGACATGCTTAGACGAGTGAGCCGTAGCAAGGCCCTTGGCAAAGAAAAAACTTGGAGCAGCATGCGGGCGCTGGCTGTCAGTTGAGTTACCATGAGATCCTCAAAATTCGGAGAGAACCGCGACCTCTGTTCGGACTAGATAGGGATTGTTTTGGGATTTTTTTCGGGTTGCTTTCAAAGGCTTTCGCTCCTGCAGTTGCCGAGGTGGCAATTGCACCTGAGCGCCGGGGGAACTCCCTCGCCACGTTTCGCAGTAGGTCCAGCTGGCGACAAAGGGTCGAGGGCCACCTCTGCAACCCTCCGCAACCTGGTAGGGCTCTGAAGATGCAACGAAGAAGATCCCGAGGCCAAGAGTGAACGCAAAGCATCTCCCAAACCTTCCACGATCTCACTCCTCTGTGGTGCTTTCTTGGCTAAAGATGCGAAAGCCCGTTGGAGCCTCCCGCGGCGAGAGTTGGTGTCCTTCGCGGCCGGGGGCCTTGGCATGTGGGCCCATTGGCCGCTAAGCAGTCCGAACCCTTGAAAGCCCCCTAAGCATCCCGAAGCCCTGGAACCCAAAGCCCAACACCCAAGCTTCTTCCAACCCCAGAAGGTTGAAAGGCAGACTTGGGCACTCTGTTCAAGACCCAAGACCCAAAACCTTCCGGAACCCAAGCGCATCCGCCGGAGGCCTCAGACTCAGCCATGGCCAGCGACCCCATGAACTCCACCTCCGAAGAGGCTTTGGGCGCTTTGGGGGGGTGCTGTGGCTCTCTCTGGGGTTTGCGCATGGTTTGCCAAGTCCCTTGCGTTGTGGCTAGGGTGGGAAAGGGGGGTGGGGTGTAGGTTCGAGAGTGAGGGTGGTAGGTGTGGGCCTGTATGTTGAAGTTGCAGAATGTGCTCAAGCGAAGTGGGTTGAGAGTTGTTGAACAGAAAAATTGGCAGGCTCAGGGCCCTCACGGGGCCTTTGCAGTTTGGTTTTTTCAGCCCAAACTCGGCACTGACGGAACCAGGACTGCAGATACCTGGGTAAGGGGGCCTCGGCCACTGTTCCGGCGCCCTCCGAAAGCACACGCAACGCCACGTACTACTCTCAGTACTCCTGGAAAGCACGCAAGTGGGTCCTGAAATGCGCCCCCCCTCTCCCTCCCCCCCTCCCCTTCCCGCAATAATAAAGTGCCCAAAGATCTGCAAGGATTCTGAGGAGGACTCGGAGGAGCACAAGCCCAGACCCCAGCTCCGCAGGAGCTAGGCTGTGGAGGTAGCTCTGGGCTTCAAAACCGTTCTTTGGAGCTTCACTTTTGGGCTTGATTACGTGGCCGACATCGGCTTTTAATGGCTTGTAGGCTCGGCTTCCCCGGACTCAAAGCATCGTGGCCCTAAAGCCTCCGAAGCCCCCTGGTAAACCTTCCCAGACACTGGGAGCCCGTTTCTCGTATCAGCCCAAAACCCCTGGGAAGTTCGCAGCTCTTTGGCACCCAGGGCGGGCTTCGTTGAAACCAACATGGCCATGTTCCGAAGGCCCGCTTCTGAGGGCTTACTTGGGCCGAGGGTGCTCTCTTGAGAGGGGTCTTTGTAGGGTTTGGGGATTGATGGAGTCATGGGTTTTTTGGGGTCCAGGATGGCTTATAGGGTTTAGGAGTTCCGGCACAGGATTGTTTCAGGTTTCGGGGTTGCAGGATGGTTTGAGGGTGTGCAGATTCAGGCATCTGTGTCGACTGCTTGCGTGTCTCGCTAATCGCCCGTGCCAATCTTGGATGCACAAGGGTCTAAGGAATCTTGGAGATCCGAGGCCTCGCTTTTAATACGGGCAAGAAGGAAATCCTAAGCCGCCCTAAAGAGGCCGCAAAAGCCCCCCCAAACCTGAAACCAGCAGATCCCAACGGCACCAGGAACCCACAGCTCTGGAAGGCCAGTCGGGAGGGGGGGGGTGTGTGTGTTGCTTTGGGGGGTCGTGTGTGTCCCAATAGCCCAAAGAGCCCCAAAGCTGCGGGCTTTGATCAGGTTCTGGTGAGCTCCCACACTTCCGTTCCCCCCCTCAGCCCAAACCCTTAACCCCAAACCGACTGCCTCAGCCCCCGTATCCCCTCCGCACATCTGCATCACTTGCCAGGTGCTGCTGCTGGCGGGCCTACAGCAAGCCGGCTGCAGCCGGGGGCCTCACGTCTTCTTTAAAGAAAGGGGTATAGCCTTTTCCTAGCCTTTTCGGTATGGCAAGCTCGCGGATGACGTGCTTCTGGAGGATTTAGAGGGATGTCGTGGGAGGGTGGGTGGAAGTACATGAAGCTCTTCAACTTGCAGTTGCCTTCCCCACATCAACTGCGCGGTGATCCCCAACTCACCAAAACTGCACTCTGCGGTACCAAAAGCCCGGAAGTCCTTGGGGAAGCCCGCAGACTTGGCGAACACGTTCGTGCTCAGCAACATGAAGGCGCAGTACTGGGGCATCCATCAGCTGACGCCTCAGTCACCTGAGCACAGTCCTTAGGAGCCGCAGGGCCATCGAAGGTAGTTTGGGAAGGCTCTGGGTTTTGTCATGCAAGAAACCAAAATTCGGGGGGGATTTTTCAGGGGCGAAGGCCAAAAGCCGCAACCCGAAGTTGTTTTGGGAGTTCCGCCCCCCGGAAGAGGGGGCCACAGAGGGTGACAGGGGGCATAGAAGGCCACGCAGAGTCCTTTGGGTTTGGGGGGTTTTGTCGGGTGGCCTTCCCCCTCCTAGGGCTGTGTAGAAGACAAGGGCCCTTTTGCATGGATTTTAGCATCAGTCAGTGAACAGGTCGGAGTATCAGTCCCTGGCGGCCATTTTCATCAACCTAGTGGCTGTGGTTTGCGGCGGACCTTACGGCAGGCACGTGGGGATAGGTCAGGCAGGGCCATTGGGAAGAGAATCCCTGAGACGCAGAGTCCTTGCGAAAAGGGGATGCTATTGAAGGGACATGTATTGTAAACGACTACCATGCATGTTGTGCGCCTTTACCTCACAAAGAAATGCATGTATACATTGATTTACATGCACAATATGTAGATTGTGGATGTTAAGCCTGCATGGGATCTAGTACGTATTTGTTGTATAAGACGTTGTGGCTTGCCTCCTTCAAATCCCTAGGTCCCAGGGAGGGCAGGAGGGACAGAGTTTAGGGAATGGAGAGGTTGGGCATGAAAGGATGCAGGAAGCTGGGGATCTACTTGCACACCTGACGTCGCTGCAGTTTTTTTGGCTACGACTCGTTTCTGGGAGGTTTGGTGATGCCGTGGATCGACGCGCTGCGGCCCGAGACGTGTTTCTACGTGCCGAACTCTGAACTGCCAACCCCCGAACCCTACACACCTTTGAACCTCGAGCCTTAAGGCCCTAAAAACACCCTACCCCAAGGACCACACAAGGCTAAAAAACCGACACCCTCAACCGAAAGCAGAGCTTGGGGGTTTCGGGGCAAAGTTCCGAGCAAGCGGAGATGGGGATTGCGGTGCCCTGAAGGAGCATCAGTGGACTGCCCTTTGGCCCAAGTATTATGAGCATCAGTCGCTTGGCCTATTGCCCACGTCACCGCAGCCGCGCCCAAAGAAGGCCAGCGTCATGAGCATCAGTGGCCAGGCCTTTTGCTCACGTCGCCCCAGCCACACCCAAACAGGGGTTAGCATCAGGAGCATCTGTGGCCAGGCCTTTTGCCCGCGTCACCCAGCCACACCCAAAGAAGGCCTGCGTCATGAGATCAGTGGCCAGGCCTCTTGCCGACGTCACCCCAGCCACACCCAAAGAAGGCCAGCGTCATGAGCATCAGTGGCCAGGCCTATTGCCCACGTCGGCTCAACCACACCCAAAAAAGGCCAGCGTCATGAGCATCAGTGGCCACGCCTTTTTTTGCCCACGTGACCCAAGCCACATAGTGCATCAGTGGCCAGGCCCTTTGCCCACGTCACCCCAGCGACACCCAAAGGACGCCAGCATCATGAGCATCAGTGGCCAGGCGTTTGCCCACGTCGCCCCAGCCACGCCCCAGCCACGCCCCAGCCACGCCCAAAGAAGGCCAGCATCATAAGCATCAGTGGCCAGGCCTTTTTGGTCACGTCACCGCAGCCACACTCAAAGAAGGCCAGCATCATGAGCATCAGTGGCCAGGCCTTTTTTGGTCATTTCACCGCAGCCACAGCATCATGAGCATCAGTGGCCAGGCCTTTTGCTCATGTCACCCACCCACACCCAAAGAAGGCCAGCATCATAAGCATCAGTGGCCAGGCCCTTTGCCCACGTCACCCAGCCAAATCCGAAGAAGGCCAATTAGTGGCCAGGCCTTCGCCCACGTCACCCCAGGCACACCCAAAAAAGCCAGCGTCATGAGCATCAGTGCCCAGGCCTTTTGCTCACGTCACCCAGCCACACCCAAAGAAGACCAGCATCAAAAGCATCAGTGGCCAGGCCTTTTGCCCACGTCACCCCAGCCACACCAAAGAAGGCCAGCATCATGAGCATCAGTGGCCAGGCCTTTTGCTCACGTCACCCAGCCACACCCAAAGAAGGGCAGCATCATAAGCATCAGTGGCCAGGCCTTTTGCCCACGTCACCCCAGCCACACCCAAAGAAGGCCAGCATCATAAGCATCAGTGGCCAGGCCCTTTGCCCACGTCACCCAGCCACACCCAAAGAAGGCCAGCATCATAAGCATCAGTGGCCAGGCCTTTTGCCCACGTCACCCCAGCCACACCCAAAGAAGGCCAGCATCATGAGCATCAGTGGCCAGGCCTTTTGCTCACGTCACCCACCCAAAGAAGGCCAGCATCATGAGCATCAGTGGCCAGGCCTTTTGCTTACGTCACCCAGCCACACCCAAAGAAGGCCAGCATCATAAGCATCGGTGGCCCTTTTGCCCACGTCACCCCAGCCACACCCACAGAAGGCCACACCCACAGAAGGCCAGCATCATGAGCATCAGTGGCCAGGCTTTTTGCCCACGTCACCCAGCCACACCCAACGAAGGCCAGCGTCATGAGCATCAGTGGCTAGGCCTTTTGCCCACGTCTCGTGTTCACTCCAGCTGCGCCCAAAGAACGCCAGCATCATGAGCATCAGTGGCCAGGCCTCTTGCCCACGTCACCCCAACCCAAAGAAGGCCAGCATCGCGTATCAGCGGGCAGCCTCCTTGGCCTCGGATGCAATCCGATGCATGATGCTGCAGGTGGCCGCGTCATGTGGACACCAAATAAGACCCTATAACACCCTAGACAACCCACATAGCCCAGTATAGACACTAACAACCTAAACCTTAAACCCCTGAGCCTGAAACCCGTGAACAACGCCGAAAAGGTCGCAGCCGGCATCTTCGCCTTCGGCACCTTCCTCCAGGGCTGGCTGCAGCCTTAGCCGGGAACAGGGCTTCAGAGGGTTCAGAGGGTAGGGGTTTAGGGTTTAGGGTTCAGGGTTCTACGGGTCTAGGCACTTCAGGGATTAGCGGTTTGGTTTTAGGGGATTGGGGGTTCAGGGATCCTAGGGTTTTAGGGGTTTGGGGTCGCTTTGGTAGGGCTTCAAGGTGTTAAGGGCCTTCTTATTGGGTTGTAGGTTTTTTTGGGGGGTGGGGGGCATTTGTGGGGGTTTGAGGTCTTATCGTTTCAAGGGAGCTTAGGAGTTTGCTTGAGGGTATTTGGTTCAGGGTTTGGGGAGGGTAGGTTTGTGTTTCTGTTCGTTTTTCTTCCGCAATTTCGTTTCAGGCCTTTCTGGCGGCGAGGCTATCGATCTAGCATATTTTGTGATGGGGGGCTTGGAGTATTCGAGGAGCTTAGAGGGAGGGGTTGCGGGGTTTCGCAGAATCTTCGCAGCTAGCTTGCAAGCCGGCACCCAGAACCTTGCCCGTGTTGCAGCTCCTTTGCCATCCTTCAGCACCCGCTTTAGGGTTTAGAGGGTTTAGGGTTTAGGGTTTGGGGTTTAGGGTTTCGGGTTTAGGGTTTAGGCTTCAGCTGGGGTTTAGGGTAAAGCCTGAATCCAAAACCCTCAACCCCAATCAATCGCTTTCTGGGGCGAGGACACTGCAGATTTTTGGTTTCACCGAGAGTGCTTTGTGGATGTCGACGTTGGTCGCCAGCTCAGTTTTGGGTAGTCCTCCGGTTGGAGGTCGGTTTTTGCACGCATGCACCCGAGTCCGTAAAGCCTATAACAAGACCCCGATGCTCAACGCTTGTTCGCAAAAAAAAGACGCAAGTCACTAAACTTGTGGATCTCGGATGCAAGATTCTGTCGAGGATTCGAGGATGGGGATGTCTTTTTCAGCAACAGCTTCGCTGCTGACCACGCCTCTTCAAACAAAACGCACGGTCAAGTCCCCCTGGCAAAAAAGGCAAAACCACAAGCACCCCCGTATGACCATGCCCTAAACCTTACACGCACCCTGTACGCCGTTTAGGCCCTGACCTAGCAGTCCTCTATACTTGTTTAGGGTGTTTAGGGGTATTGTTACAGGAAAACCGGGTTTAGGGTTTAAATTGGGCTTTGCCCATTTTGTTCTCAGGCCCAGATCATCGGATCCTTTGGGCTGTCCAGTAACGCCGCTGGTTGGCAGGGAGTTCCATGGGGAGGTGTTCGGGGTTTAGGGTTTGAGGGGTCAGAGTTTCGGTTTAGGGCTCCGGGTTTAGGGCAAACAAACCCTAACCCTAAACCCTAAACCCTAAACCCTAAACCCTAAACCCTAAACCCGAAACGCTAAAATGACACCATCTTTTGGGTCTAGGCTTCGAGGGTGGCCTAGGGCTTGAGCAATGTGACTTTGCTGGGGCGTGAGTCCTGTTGTTCTTTCCTTCGTTTGCTGGGTCTTGTGTTTTGTTTTTTTGTTTGAGGGGTTTGGGGTGGGTCTCTGGCATTCTCGAGGTCTCCTGGAGGCATGCTAGATGGGTTGGAGCTTGATTCTAAGGTATTTGATGGGGTCATTAGGGTAGATTCGCTTTGGTCATAGTCGCTGATTCCCAGGATTGCATTATTTGCATTCGTGCTTTCTGTATACTCTCGTATGGGGTACCAAAAACGTCCCGCAACTTAGGCAACCCCCCCAGTTCAGTTGAGACTGTACGGGCCGTTTTCCTTTTCGATGGCTTACGGCTTTGGGACTGTAGAAGTAGCTGAGAGTGGTGTTCAGCAGGAGGTCGAGGGTTTGGGTCTAGGCTTCCGCAGCAAGCCAGTCCAGTTTGCCACATGTCTTGTTGAATGAAGGTGCTGAAGGAGGAAGTCTGTGATTCATAGTAGCCCATTGCCACGAGTCCTACAAATCCCCCCCCCCCCACCCCCCCGGAACATCTCCCTTTTGTTTAGCCCTAGACACCAAATGCCAAAGACCCGCCTCTGCTTGCAAGCCCCATGACATCATCGCCCAAGTGAGGTGATGTTCGCGTTGGCCACGGACGCCTGAATCTCAGCCTCCTGCGAATTCGGCTTCCGGGTTGTTTTAGGGTTTGAGGTTTAAGGGTTCAGGGAGTTTCGGGTCTTGGGGTTCAGGATCTGGGGGTTTAGGGTCTGCCATCCTGAGCCCCAAATGCCCAAGCCCTCTGAAGCAAGAGCTCCGAAGCCACATGTCGTCCTGCATTACGATCTCCTGAAGGTTTAGGGTTTAGAGTTTACGACTGACCTGAGCCAGCGATCCGCAAACCTGGTTTACATCACCCCCCTCCCAGGTCCCCTCTTCATTTGAGTTGTGTACCCAACTTTCCTACAACAAGCCCATTCCTCATTCGGTTCGCTCAGCTCAAAAACCGCGTGACGCCCTGGAGGTGCCCTGAAGGCTCCTGAAGGCCTCCTTAAGACCCCTTCAGGCTCCATCCCAGGGACCCCAGAACAGGTCCCACGCGGTACCATCATAAATCCTAAAGGACCTGGAAAGGCCCCCTAAATCCTACTGGCCTTAGAGAGGCCCCTGAACCCTAAATCTCAAATCCTAAGTCTATCCTAAATCCTAAATCTTAAATCTTAAATCCTAAATGCCAAATCCTAAATCCTAAATCCTAAATCCTAAATCCTAAATCCTAAATCCTAAATCCTAAGGGCACCAAATCATAAATCCTAATACAGAATGCCAACAATGGCGGGGAACCCAGATTTGGTTAATCCCATCATGCGATCTTTAGTACAGGAGCCCCGTCCGTTTTTTGATCCAGGCACCTGAACCCTAAATCGTAAATCCTAAATCCTAAATCCTAAATCCTAAATCCTAAATCCTAAATCCTAAATCCGAATGCTAAATTCTAAATCCTAAATTCTAAAGGCACCAGCGAGGCCCCCTGAACCCTAAATCCTAAATCCTAAAGGTGGAGTACGACCCCAGTAAAGTTCAAATATACATGGGTAGAGAGGGTTTAGGGTTCTCGGACTCCTCCTAAAGAGATGGAAAGGGTTGCCGGAAGCGAGGGGGGAGGGGGGGTTAATCCTCCAACCTCACAACCCCCACCCCCTTCGTAAGTCCATGAGGTGACCCGCTTCCAGGACAGAGAGCCGCTTGGCTTCTGGCGGATGCACAATTTTACAGTGCAGGATCCCCAACTCGAAGCAACCCCCAAAGTCTCAGGCTGAAGCCACGCCAAGCCCCTAAATGCCCCTCCAAAACCAAGAATCCCCGAAGATAACTCCTAAGCCTTTCGAGAGCAGCCCATAGAGCCCAAAGAGCAACGGAATCCGACTGTCTTCATGCAGAAGTCTTGGCTCCTAAACTGCCCATTTGAGGAGGCTTTTGTGGGGTTTAGGGGTTCCGGGTTGCAGGGTTCGGGGTTTAGGGCTTCAAGAGCTTTCGGGGGCTTAGGTTTAGGAGAAGCCCCTGAAGCCGGTCTCTGAGCCTGGCACTTGGCAGGGTCATGGCCGGGGCGTACTTTGCCGCCACCTGTGCCTTGCGACTGGGCTGGACGATGGCGGCTTCAAGGGGCTTCAAGGGCCTCTGTTTTCAGAGTTTCAGTGGCTGAGCCTGAAACCAAGGGACTTGAGACATACAAGGCCCACACCCCTAAACAACACCCCTAAATCTTAAACCCTAGACAGCACCAAAAGAACTCCCAAACATGTGGGTGGTGAGTGTTGGAGGGCTCACTCCTTCTTGCATGAGGGTGAGTGTCTGGCTAACGGTTGAAAGGGCTTAGGTCTCAGACCTGCATTGGTTTAGGGTTTAGGTTTAGGAGTGTAGGGTCTCTCTCGCCCTCTCTCCCTCTCTCTCTGTCTCTCCTGGGCCGAAGTCCTGAGGAATCTGATCGTCTTATGCGTGCCTGCCGTGCCCTCAGTCCTCTGGGCTTCAAACCTCAAACCTAAAATTTGGACAACGACCCCAGGTCCCAGACTCTCTGAACCCTACAACCCTACGCGGGATGTAGGGCTTGGGGTTTAGGGGTTTCGGGTGCTGGCTTTCGGGTGTTGGGGGAAATCCCTAAACCCAGTATTTAGATTCCGAGACTCTTTCCAAGTTTGGGCTTACATCCCGGGTGGCAGACACTCCTTTTGGGTGTGGAGGGTTTTGGGCTTTCAGGCCTCAGGGAATAGAACTCTGTCAGTTCTCTCATGTGTGGGTGCTTTTTCCTCCAAGACCTCAGGTCAACCCCTTTACCTAAGCCATACAAGACCTATAAGCACTGTAAGACCAAAGCCCTCAATCCCCAAATCCGAAGCCAGACCATATCCCTTGAAAAGAGATTCTCATTGCCCAGAACCCGAAAACTCGCCCAAGCCTCCTTTGTCAGACCCTCTTTATCCTGGTCCTGGAAGTGGTGCCCAACAACCCGCGCCTCGAGTGCTGTTGGGGTTGTGGTTCGGTTTCGGGGCTTGGTGTGTTTAGGGTTTAGGAGGGCTAGGGGTTTGTTTAGGGCTCAGGGCCTTCAAGTTTTGAGTGTTTGAGGGCCTTCGAGGTTTTAGGTTCAGGGCTTTAAGATTCAGGCTTGGGGCTTTCAAGATTTAGGGTTCAAGAATGGAGGTCTCGGGTCTGGACGGTTGAGGGCTTGGGGGAGACCCTGAAACCTTGGCTTGGGCGGCATATGCACATGTGACTCCTAAAGCTTAAACCCTAAACCCTAAACTCTAAACCCTAAACCCTAAACCCTAAACCCCAAACCCTAAACCCTAAACCCTAAACCCTGAACCCTAAACCCTAAACCCTAAACCCCTGGGAAGTGGTGGCCTTGGGTTCTGGGTTGAGGTGTCAGGGTTGCGGATCTGTTTTGGAAGCAACTTGTTGAAGATCTTCTAGACGCCCTGAGCTCTATACCCAAGCCAGCTTTACGCCGCAACCCTGGTTCATAACAAGCTTCTTATATTGAAATGCAGCCAAGGAACCTCATGATCTGCGTCCAGACGGGTGCCAGCCCAAGATGCAAGGGTCTCCCTGGGTCTCCTCGGTTCTTTTCTTGCGGAAAACAACGGGTTTAGGGCTCTAGGGTAGAGGAGTCGGAGCTCGGCTGTTGTCTTGGGTGTTGAGGGTCTTAGAGTGAGCTTATTAACGGGCTGCTGTTCAACAACTTTAAATCTGCTACCATCACGACATGGACATACCGTTCAACATGAAGTCTCGGCACCAGGGCGAGCTAACTGGAGTTCCTCAGTCTTGCAGGGTTCGGGTTTGGGCTGTTCTTGGCCACAAGCTTACTTGAGCGGTCCGGGTTTGGCCCGTTCTGTGGTTCAAGGATTTGCGAAGAGTTGTTTTATTTCAGGTTTAGTTTAGGCCTTGTGACTTTTTGGGCAAGCGGGGGGGGGGGGGGGGGGGGCAGGACTGGTAGAGGGGTTTGGGGGTTGTGAGGCCGTGAGGCGCTTTGAGCGTGAACTCGCCCGAGGCTTGACGTTCATCTGGTACTTGGTTCTCGCCTCCGTGACGGCCGGGCCCCACGAAGCTTCAGCCCCTTTACACCCTCAGCTGTAAACACAAAACCCTCAACTTATCAGCTGCCCCTCCCTTCCTCCTCCCCACCAGTCCATTTCCTGGACCCTACACTGAACCAGTAGGATTGGGAACCCTAAACCCTAGGGTTGCAGGGATTTACAGGTTTGGCGAGCTTGGGGTTCTCTTCCGCAACCTGGGGCCCGAATTGCCTACAGTGGGGTTTGGCTTTGGTGCTCCAGAGCAGTATTTCGCACTCTTGGAGCCCTCAACTAAGGTCGAACTCCTTCACAAATCTGCATTGCTACCGGTTGGTTCGTAGTGTTGGCTTATAGCAATTTCTTGGGTTTAGGGTGTTGTGGTTGGGGGTTTGAGGACTCCGGGTTCAAGGGTAGTGACGAGATCCGGGCGAAGCTCCGCCAATAGCCTGCGGTGCGAATACACGGACGTTGGGCATTCTGCTGTGCAAGGCTGAGACTTCTACGGTTCGTGCGTAGTCCGTGGTTCAGGGTTGAACAGAAGCATCTCCGACCAGGGACAGAAGGAGAAAGAAGCGGACCATGACAACGAGATGTTGGAGCCTTAGCCGGTAGCGACCCGATAGGCAAGGGGAGCACTCTAGCAAGATCTCCTCACTTGTATCAGGTGATTCTTCGCATGACTTGGGCATTTCCAAAACAAGGGTACTGCTTATGTACCGCCAGATTGTACTACCCTAATCACAGGAACTCTATTTTCGTAAGCCCCATGTGTTGTTCAGGTGAGATTTTTGGTTGTAGGACGGCCCTAGGAGGTGGGTTTGCTGGGTGGTTGTGTTGCTCGCCTGTGTGGCGAGGTCTGAAGGAGTTCAAGATAGTTCAAGCCAAACCCCCTAAAACCTTCAACCCTCAAGGCCCAAGCGCTGTGCCCAGCATCCGAGAACCCTAAGTCCTAACCCTAAACCCTAAACCCTAAACCCTAAACCCTAAACCCTAAACCCTAAACCCTAAACCCTAAGCCCCTCAACCTGAACTCGTCAGACTGCTCAGGTGGTTCGTGGAGTCTGGCGAGGCACAGGAGGAGGCGACAGTGGACATCAAAGAGAGCACGGAAGCCTGGGTCTACCCTGGGAGCAGGGCCGCGGTTTAGGGTTTTAGGGGGGTTGAAGGTGGGGTTGGGGGGGTTGAAGATGGCTCAGGCCTTGGGGTTTGGGGGTTGGCAGGGTTTTAGGGCTTGACTGAGATTTGGCGAAAGAAAAAGTGTCACTCGAGGTGAGAGCTGGGGGTTTTGGTGTTTTCGGGGTAAGCCGGGAACCTTGAAAACCTCCCCAAACCCCACCAAAACCCTAAAGCATAAGAAGCAAACTTTATTGTTTGCACGGTAATTGTAAACGCTTGCGCGCGCCGCCTCGGCAGCCGGGCCGGCCCCAGGACAGGAAAGGAGGAAAGAGGGTTTCGCAAAAGCGGGGTTAAAGGGGGGGGGGGGTGGGGGGGGGTGGGGGGGGGGTGGAGGGGCTGGGGGGAATGGGGGGAGGGCGGGTGGAGGGGGATTGACAGGCGGGACCCTCCGCGGCATCGGCCGAAGCGAATTATTCGTAACGTAGCTTCAAGTTCCTTAGCAGTGCCCCGAACTATCGTGATCCTTGCTTACCCCCCCTCAAACCCCCCAAACCCTAAACTAAACCCTAAACCCTAAACCCCCTAAGGCCTAAACCTTAACCCTAAACCCCAAACCCTAGCCTACAATGGGCACCAAGCCAAAAGCCAGATTTCTAAGAAATCGGCATGGGGTTCAGGGTTCCTACATGTCCCCCTATTGTACTTAAAGGTATCTTGTCATGTTCAAGTCTTCTTCAGAGAGAGACCCCCATCCCTAAACTCTACTTGTGCGGGGGTTGTCCTTGGCTGTCGTTCCTCTTTGTTACCCTTCCCGAAAAGGAGTCTCTACAAAACAGAGGCCCAAAAAACGCCATGTTTCACAACCCACCGTCCTTTGAAGGAGGTCACGCCTCAGCTCGGTTTTTTCGGTTTGCCCCCGAGCCCCCCCAAAGACCACATCCCAACGTAGCCTCCCTCCCCAAACCCAAAAGCCCAAAAACCTTAAACCCTAAACCCAAAACCCAAAACCCTCAACCCTAGATCCGACGCAGCTTTTTTTCTTGCTTCCCAAGCTTCGCGTGATCCGCTTTTGCCGTCCATGTCCTGGGTTTGCATCGATGTAAGCCTCCTGAGTGGCAGAACGGCAAGGATCACAAGAGACTCGGCTAGGTTTCCAGGTTCAGGGGTTTTTCGAGTTTAGGGTTTACAGGTTTAGGTCTTAGGGTTTAGGGTTTGTTAAGGTTTTTTGGTGTTTAAAGTGTATTTATTGTTTAAGGTACAGGGTTTAGGAATGGGTACAGACTTTGGTTGCCTTACTATGATACCTTTAGCTTCTAAGTTCCTTAACAGCAGCCAAGGAGAGGCGAGCTGCTCCATCGAGGAGTTTAAGCAAGAGGCCAGCAGCGATGAAAAGGGAAACCCTAGACTCCAAACCCGTTTTTGCCGGATTCCCTAAACCTTTTAGGCAGACCTCCCAAGCCCTCATAAGACCCTACAACCCCAGATCCTGCAGCCCAAGCCCCCACAGCCCCAAGCTCCTAGACCCGAAGCTCAACCCTTAAATCCGCTGAACTTCAACCCTCAGCTCAAACCCTTGAATCCTGGAACCCTAAGCTCAAACCCTTAAACCCTTAAACCCTTAAACCCTTAAACCCTTAAACCCTTAAACCCTTAAACCCTTAAGCCCTTAAACCCTTAAACCCTTAAACCCTTAAACCCCTCAGCTCAAACCCTTAAACCCTTAAACCGCCGGTCAAAAGCAGGCCCTGGCTTGTCTACATCTGGGCGCCGGGGTTCTGCTCACTGCTTCGGGTGAGGTGCTGTGCTCAGGAACCCTTGAGGAGGCTGGTCTGAAGGACCGGCTGATGCTTTCTGAGGGTTTAGAGGAGTTTAGGAGTCGAGGTGTCTGGTTCTCAGTGCAAACGCTAGCTTTTCTGGACCCTTGAACGGCTTAGGGAACACGTTAACTCTGTTTGGCCCTGTCTGCCAAGACCCCTTAAGACTTTATGATCATTGTTTTAGTTATTTGGTTTAGGGTGTTTAGGCTTTTGGGTTCGGGGCTTAGGGTTTCGTGACTGCTGTAATGTTGAAAGGTCATCCAAGAACAGTTCTTCAGCAGTGTTTGGAGTCTTCGGGGCTCAGGGGCCACGAAGCAGCAAAAGGGATGACTCCTTGCTTGGGACTATAAAGCGAATACGTAAGGCCCAACGCCAACTCTGCAGCCCATCCCCGCAGGATTTCTGAACCCTAAGCCCCTAAACCCTGAACCCCTAAACCCCTGAACCCCTAAACCCCTAAACCCCTAAACCCCTAAACCCCTAAACCCCTAAACCCCTAAACCCCTAAACCCCTAAACCCCTAAACCCCTAAACCCCTCAACCCTGAACCCTAAGCCCGGTAAGCCCCAGAGGATGGAGATGTGCTCCTGCTGCAGCAACGGCAGGCGGACCTTTTGCAGTCTTTAGAGCTCGACCTTCAGCTCAGCAAGGATGCACGGGATCCAAACTCGCGAGAGCTTGGGGTTTGGAGTTTGGGCTTAGGGTTTGTGGTTTGGGTTTGGGGTTTAGGGCTTAGGAGGCTTTGCCCTACAGGAGCCAAAAAGGATTACCCACATTCTCCGGATGTAGGATAGGGTTGGACTCCGAGTAGCATCCCGAAGGTTCGTTGTTGTATAACAGGTATGCACTACGCAAAGTTTCCTGTTCTAATTCAAGAGGCGCTCCCAAGGATGATCCCTCGACAAAAAAAGCATTTCGAATGATCTGCCCCCCCCCCCCCCCCCCCCCAGTTGGGGGGTGCGTTATACTAGTAGCCAGAAAAGGACCCTTGTTTAAGAAAAGTGACCATGTTGAACCCGCATCCCTAAACCCTAAGCCCTTTACCTTATGCTCCTTAGCCACAGAAGAACCCCTTTGAAGGATAGAGGTTTCTCTTTCCAGACGCCGGGGCGCTTCACAGACCTCACGGTGGTGGCGCAAGGTAGGGCTCCAAACCGAAGCCTCAACCCTGACTGGGTTGGCTGTGAGCGGAAGTGAGGCCTCCATAGTATGTGCAGATGGCAGAACAATGGCTTCGTGGTGATGGTAGGGTTTAGGGTTTAGGGTTTAGGGTTTAGGGTTTAGGGTTTAGGGTTTAGGGTTTAGGGTTTAGGGTTTAGGGTTTAGGGTTTAGGGTTTAGGGTTTAGGGTTTAGCTTATCTAGGCAGCAGCCCAGAAAACCCAAAAGCCTCGATCCTTCTTTGGTCGGAGATGTTGGAGAGTCGAGGAACTAGGTAGCCTGGGGCACATCGCGATTTTGGAAGACGGCAGGTGCGTATGGCGTGACCTGCTCGGCCCGGGATGAGAGTACAGATGGTAGGGTTGCGATCAAGAAGGTGGAGGGAGCCCTTGAAGACCTTCGGCACGCGAGGCAGACGTTGAAGGAGCTCAAGCTTTTGAGGCACCTGGGCCATGAGAATATCCTGGCCTTGCAATACGTCTTCCTTCCTGGTGTCAAGTCCACTTTCAAGGACTTGTACATTGTCTCTGGCCTCATGGACACAGACTTGGCTAGTATCCTGAGGAGCTCCCAATTGCTTCGCGACCAGCATTGCCAGTACTTTTCGTACCAGCTTCTTCGCGGGCTGAAGTTCATGCACTCTGCCGGGGTGGTGCATCTTGACTTGAAGCCGCGCAACGTGCTGCTGAACACCAACTGTGACTTGAGAATCAGTGGCTTGACGTACGCGGTGTTGGATGTTGGGGAGACAGGCGAAGATTGTCTGCCCGGGGAGGGATATGTCGGCCAGCGGTGGTATGGGGCACCAGAGGCTCTCTGTCATTGCAGTGGCAGCGTCTATGGTCCCCCCGTCGACATCTGGTCTGTAGGAGCTATGGTTGCCGAGATGTTTGCCCGCCGGCCCCTGTTTCCAGGGAAGAATGCGCAGCACCAGCTCCAGCTGATGTTGAGAGTTTTGGGTCCCTGGGATGCATCTTCCTTCGCTTGGATCAAGAACCCAAGAGCCCGGGAGTTCCTGGAGTCGCAGTCCCCAGGCGCCAGCCGCGCCCTCGGCGAGGCCGTCGGAGCCGCCTCACCCTCGGCGATGGAGCTGCTGGAATCTGGGTGCTTATAAGTTGCCAGAATTAGGCAGCCAGCGTTAGGTACCGGCATGTCCTCTGTGTTTTCAGGATTCCACATTTCCGTCTCTCCGTTGTCAACTCAGCTCTCAAGTTCCTCAGCAGTCGAGGATGTCCTGCTCCAGTTCAACCCCGAGCACCGGGCTACAGCTGAACAGGCCCTACAGATGACCCTTGGGGCGGTTTGAGGGTTTGTAGGGGCAACGAAGGTTTCGTATCAGAACAAGCCCCCTTCCGTGGGGTCTGCAGCTTAGAACGCCCATTCAGGCAGGCTCCACAGGTGGTTGCTCTTGCCGGTGGGACAACTAAGGAGCTACTTCGGAGATCTGCGCTGTCCCGAGGACTGTCGTGCGCGAAGCAGTTTGCTTCTGCCTGTCAGGTTTCATGTGCACGAGAACCTTACAAACCCTGAACCACAAACAAGCAGGACAACCTCAAACCCTGAACCACAAAAGCACCCTACACCCTAAACCGGAAACCCTAAACCCTAAACCCTAAACCCTAAACCCTAAACCCTAAACCCTAAACCCTAAACCCCGGAGCCACAACATCTTGCTCCCCGAGGATGAGCCTTCGAGCGCTCCCCTGGACCTGAGGGACTTCGAGTTCCTGCGGCGGAAAATCGACTCGGCGGCGCTGCGCGAGGAGATCTTCTTGGAGGCGGCGAGTGAAGAAACGAACAGCGAACCCAGAGGGGCCTTGTTGAAAGGGCTGAGAGGGTTTAGGGTTTAGGGTTTAGGGTTTAGGGTTTAGGGTTTGGGGTTTAGGGTTAGGGTTTAGGGTTTAGGGTTTAGGGTTTAGGCTTTAGGGTTTAGGGTTTAGGGTTTAGGGTGATGTAGGCTCAGGGGTTCAGGACGTGGTTTCCGAGCCTTGGTGCTTCCTCTCGAGGCCCTTCGCTACCACCCGGAGCTGGTGCAGCGGTACGAGCGGGAGCAGGCGCTGATGGGCACCGTGCATGACATCCAGGCATACCCGCTGCTGGAACCGGGTGAAGAATGGCCCACCTAATTCAGGCGGCTGATCCGCTCATGCCCCCGAGCGTCTTGTTCAGTCAGCCAAGTCCCCGAAAAAAAGGCGCGTGCTGGCCTTTGCATGGGTGTCTGGTGAAGGGCTGCACTCGCGGTGTCTGCTTACCGAAGTACGTGATCGATGAACCTTCAACCAAACCTGAGGCAACCAAGCCGACAGCCCTCAATCTCCTTTCCCCCCATGTCAATTCACACCTGCTACACTTCAAGCTCCCTAAGCCCTAAGCCTTGAACTCTACACTCGAAGCCCTGAACCAGACGTCTGATACTCAGGACACCAGTTCCGGATCCTTCCCAAAGGGTGGAATTGTCGGTGAGGTCTGTAGTTTTTCAGGGGTGATGTGTTTTCGGTGACGCCGCGCAGCGCCCCGGCCCGGGACCATGCCTATTTTTCTCGAGGCCAGCCCACTGTTGTTGGACAAAAAGCCGCGCTTTCGACCAGGCCCGGGCGTGGCCGCGCTCGCCATCCTCGAAGCTGTCATTTCTTCTTGTCTTCGGGGTTTGCCAAGTGCGAAAAAATGTGCGTCTTGGCATTTGACCCGATGCGAACATGTCGTCGCTTCTGGACGTCTGGCATGTGTCGAACCTGTCGTCGCTTTTGAGTATTCCGGGTTTGCCATATGCAAAACTGCTGTCGCTTTTTGGACGTCTGGGCTCTTGGTGTCTTGGGTAGATGTGCTCTGCGTTGGAATACTCTTTCGTGTCCCTCTCACTTTTTGGGGTTTACGCTGGCATAGTTTCGGGTTTGAGGTTTAGGGCTTTATTGTTTCAGGGTCTTAGGGGGGCATGGTTTGGGGACGTTTTAGGGAGCTTGGACAAGCTTATCCGAGGCGATCCGCCCGCGAAGAAAGACTGCCAGCTCCTTGTCTGCAAGCGACCTTGTGCTGCTTGCGGTGAACCCCTAAACTAAACCCTAAACCTAACCCTTGGCAAGGCTTACTCTGCCTCCCGGCCCTGAACCTTAAGCCCAAGACCGACCTCCCCGAAGTTTAGGAATCAGGGGTTGAGGGCCAAACCGTAAACCCAAAGCCCTAGAACGCTCAACCCCAACACCCCACTTCCGTTTAGGGTGCTAACATCAACAAGTGACACTCCGAAGCCCTTGGAAGCCCCCAAATTGGGGGTTTAGGGTTTCGGGTCTAGGTTATAGAGGTTTAGGATTTGGTTTGGCGTGTCTCCACGCATGAAAGGCAACCCGAATACCCTAAACCCAGCGCTTAGCTTCGGGTTTAATGTGTAATGGTAAGGCTCAGGGTTGTGTACTTTAGAGCGGGTCGTTGGAGCTTGTAGCAACTTTGGGGTTCAGGGAGCCCTAAGCCCAGCATCCCCTCCAAAAAAGAAGCAACACCGAAGCACCTTTTTAGGGTTTTTTTAGGGTTTTAAGGCTTTGCAGGGTTTACAGGGTTTACAGGGTTTATAGGGCTCGCAGGGTTTATGGGTTTATAGGCTTTGTAGAGTTTATGGGGTTTACAGGGTTTATAGGGTTTCGGGAACACACGGGTTTCACCTCCAAAACCTGAAGCAGGAGCCTCGCCAACGCAGTGAAAGGCGTCCGTTCGGGGGGGGGGGGGGAATCTTCATATCTGTTGCACAGTAAGCGATTGAGCGGGTGCTGTGTTTAGGGTTCATGGTTCAGGGCTTAGGGTTGGGTAGGAATGTACTCCCTGCGAACAAGTCGGCAGCAGCGGAGTACCCAAGTTTCTTGAAAGGCGTAGAGTGAGAGCCCTTCGTGTCTTGCGACCGCACCCGCGCCCTCCCTGCCCAATGCCCAGTGCCCTGGATGGGCCAGATGGCGGAAGGTCACGCCTCTCTAAATCCGAAATCCTAAATCCCAAGCCCTTAAAACCCCGCAACCCTAAAGCCCTAAAACTCTGAAGCCCTGCAAACCCCCCCCCCCCCCCAAAAAAAAAAAAAAAAAATCGCCGAAAAAGAAGGCTCGAAAAACAAGTTAGGGGCACCCTAATTCCCAGGGCTTCTTGGGGGGGTGGGGGCTTCACCAACAAAAAGCCTCAGAAAAAAGCCTCAGTCCATTTCTGCCAGGCCTCTTTGAGCCATTTCGATTGGCTGCTGGCTCAGCTCACATTTTCTTCACCCTACCAAGGCCCACCAAGGTCAATTCAAGACGGGGCCTGAACCCCAAACCCCAAACCCCAAAGCCCCTGAAGCCCCTGAAGCCCCTGAAGCCCCTGAAACCTCGAAAGCCCCTCAAATCCCTGAACCCCTGAACCCGGACCCTAAACCCCTAAGCCCTAAACCCCAAGCCCTAAACCCCAAACCCTAAACCCCAAACCCTAAACCCTAAACCCCTAAAACCCCTCCTTCCTTCTTGAGCCTGAGGCCTTTAGCCACCGCCGGCTGCGCCGATTGAGTTCTGCTCCCCAGTGTTCCGCTGAACGCCTTTTGTATTCGTTCTTCCCTGTTGGGGATTTAGGGTTAGGGTCTAGGGTTCAGGGTTTAGGGAAGTGTACTTGGTGGTTCTGAGTAGGGAATGGGGGTGGAATTCAGTGTCCTGCATGATCCCCTGTAAGACAGCCCTCAACCCCAAGCACTAAACCCTAAAGCGCACACTTGAGGTCCCATGGCTTAGGATTGTTTCTTTCGGTCCTTACAGAAATTTGGGACCGGCGCTTCTTTCGAGGGGTTTAGGGTTGGGGGGGGGGGAAGTTGAGGGTTTTCAGAGTCTGGGGAGGGCTCATGGTGTTGGGGTTTAGGGCTCAAGGTGAGGGCCCAACTAAATGTTCGACACCCCACAAACTCTAAAACCTTAAGCCCCTAAACCCTAAACCCTAAACCCTAAACCCTAAACCCTAAACCCTAAACCCTAAACCCTAAACCCTAAACCCTAAACCCTAAACCCTAAACCCTAAACCCTAAACCCTTCGAAGACCCACCACCAGGCCTGTGTGCGTTCCTCTTAGCCTTTGGCGGCAGCCTCGTGTCCGGATCCCGGAGGGGGGGGGCTCATGGGATCCTCGAACACTGTGCCTTTTAGGGGGTTTTGGGATTTTTTTGGGGGGGTTTTGCGGCTTTTGGGGCTTTGGGGTTTTAGGGTTTAGGGTTTAGGGTGGAGGCTTTGGGGTTTTAGGGGTTTAGGGTTTAGGGTGGAGGCTTTGGGGTTTTCGGGCCCCGAAGGCCTACCTCCCAGAACCCTAGACCCTTACTTGCTTACTTGGGCTTGGAAGATCGCTGGAATTGTTCTTCAGGAGCTTGGGTGAGTTTGGTGGGGTCAATCTTTGGGAGGTTTTAGGGTTTAGGGCTTCCTGGGTGCTCTAGTCGAGGAACCCAACTTACCATATCCAGGGTACTAGATTCATTAGTAGCTTTGCGAGTCTAGTATGGTAGGTTAATCCGAAATCCCTAAGCCCAAAATCCCCAAGCCCTAGAGGGTTTGGGGTTTAGGGTCCTCTAGCCCCTAAGCCCTAAACCCTAAACCGCCCTAAACACCTTACCCTAAATCCTGAACCTTAAACCCTAAACCCTAAACCCTAAACCCTCTCTCTGAGGATGGACATTGGTGGCCAATTCTTCCAAGAGTCGCTTGGCCTCCTCGACAATCCCTACTCCAAGATGGCACCTTGGCCCACGAGGTACGGTTTAAGGAGGGTTTAGGGTTTGGGGTTTAGGGTTTAGGGGTTAGGAGGGGGGGGGTTAGGTTGAAGAGGGTTCAGGAGGGTATATTCAGGGGTACGGGTTAAGGAGGGAGGAAGGGGGGGGGGGGAGATTGGGTTTAGAGGGTTTAGCAGGGTTTGGGGTTTGGGGATTGGGGGCCAAACTCTAGGGTTTCGGGCTTAGAAGTGTTGAGGTTTGGGGTCCAAGAACCAGCCCCAAACCCTAGAACCTAGACCCTATTAAGCCCTGCAAGCCTCATGCACCCCCACAAGCCCCTATACCGCCTTACAGGCCCGAGTTAACACCCTCAACACGCAACTCAGATAAGCCCTCGAAAGTTTCCCAGGACAAGGCGGAGCTCGAGCGGAATCGCGCCGGGGCCCCGAAGCTTCAGAGCTTTGGGGGTTTGTTGCTTTTGGGGTCAGGGTTTAGGGTTTAGGGTTTCGGGTTCAGGGTTTGGGGGTTGGAAGGTCTTAGGGGTGTTAGGGCTTCTAGGGGTTGGTCGTAGGGATTTCAGGGATCAGGGTTCTCGGACTCGTGAGTCTGAGCTACCTATGGAGCCAACCCTGTTTGGGGTTTAGGTTTAGCAACAAACAACAAGACTGTTTTCGTCGTGGTTGCGAATAGCAACCACCTGAGCTCTCCTCCCAAGCCCTAAACTCTCAACCCTACATACACCCCAAACCCTGAACACTAAACCCCGAACCCTAGACCCTGAACCCCAAAGCCCAAACCCGAAACCCCAAACCCCAACCCCAAACCCCAAACCCCCTCTGCCAGGTTTGGGTCGCCGTGTACTCCATGTTGCCAGGCGGGGGCCCTTCATGCAGTTTCTTTCCGAATGTTTCGTGCGAAGGGTGGGACCCCAAACCCTACATCCAAAGCCCTCGACCATAAACCCTAGAGGTTCAGGGGTTTAGGGCCGATTAGGGGCCTGGATTTAGGGGACCTCAACCCTATAAGCCCTCCTTACCTATACTTCATGGTTTCATGGCGGGTGGCTTGCATTCGGACTCTGCAGGACAGCTGATGGCTATTCCTGGCAACCTGATCACCGGGCACCTTGGCAAGTTAGGGCAAACCCTAAGCCTTGAACCCTAATAGTAAGGGGCTTGAAGATGTGGGTTTCGGGGGGTGCCTGAACCAGTTGAGGCTTGCCAGGGGGGGTTGCCAAAACCCAAAGCTCTACAGTAAAAACGCTGTATAAGAAAACGGTTTTCCGGCGATAGGGTACCCTAAGTTTCTTAGTTTCCATTGCCCATGTACCCGGGGGGGGTTTGAGCCTAGGGTAGGCTTGGTTTCTAAACTAATTTCTGGGAAGGGTTCCCGAATGTGACTCCCGCACGTTTTGGGGTAGGGTCAGGCCAGAGGCGCGGGGGAGTCACGTTTTAGAGCTTTTCAGGGCTGAAAACCTCTAGTTGTGACTCCCGCCGCGTTTTGGGGTATAGGGTCAGGCCAGAGGCGCGGGGAGTCACGTTTTAGAGCTTCTCAGGGCTGAAAACCTCTAGAATGTGACTCCCGCGCGTTTTTGGGGTATAGGGTCAGGCCGCAGGCGCGGGGGAGTCACGTTTTAGAGCTTGAAACCTCTAGAACCCGGGGGGCGTTGCGGGCAGGATTTCTTTAGAAACTGACCCCAAAACACTAGGGTACCCTAAGTTTCTTAGCTAGAAGGCAACCGCAAATCGACCAATATTCCCGGGTCTAGGGGCTCAGTTTCTGAAACAGTGGTTTCTTATACAGTGGTTTTACTGTAGTCCAGTACAATCCCGGCATTCCTTGGCAGGTTTCTGGCCAAGCAGCCTGGGTCTCGGCGGGGTGTGTGTTTGCGGCTTCTCCAGGGCTTCGGGGTGCTATGCGAACAGTGGGATGGGAGGTTTTCAGGGTTCATGTGTGTGCCTCGAGCGGGGGAAGACGGGCACAGGCTGGCTGTCCATGTGCTCACTTGGAGGTTGATCGTGGGCCCTTCATGTATGCTGTACGGCCTCCTTGCGGCTTCGGTACTTCAGGGTTTAGGGTTTAGGGTCTAGGGCCGCTTCCATGTACGTAGGGCCAGACTCTAGGGCGTTGCGACTGAAGCATTGAAGTCTACCACCTCGACTCCTCAGGCCTGCAAGCCCCACATCCGAAGCTTTCAAACACCCCCCGGAAACAAAAGCTCTGCCAAAAAAGAAGCTGACCTTACAAAACCCAAAGCCCGAAATCCTGAACCCTAAGCCCTAGACCCTAAGCCCGAAATCCTAAACTTCCAGCCGAGCTTGCAGAGGTCCGGTCCCCTACGGCTACTCCGAAGGCCGCCGCAGGGGGCAGGGGCTTAAGGGGTTTTAGGGGATTTGGGTGGGGGTTAGGGGGGTTTAGGGGGGGTTTAAGGGGGGTTTAAGGGGGGTTTAGGGGGGTTTAGGGGGTTGAGGTGGGTTTAGGGGGTTTACGGGGTTTGGGTGGGTTTAGGGGGTCCTGGGGGGTTTTGAGGGGTTTAGGGGGGTTTGGTGTTTAGGGTTTGAGGTTTAAGGGCGTCAGGGTTCTGGGTTCACTTTTAGGTTCATGAATTTAAGGGTTTAGGGTCCATTAGTTTATGGTCTGAGGGGTGAGATTTAGAGCTTCAGGGTTCATGGGTTTATTGTTTTAATTGAGGGCCAAAGGGCTTTAAGGTCAATGGCTTTGGAGCGGGCTCCGCGCTGCTCGGGTTGTTGTTTGGGCTTTCAGGTTGAACCTAACCTCCCCAAACCCTGAACTTCAAGCAGCTCTCCCTAAACCCTAAACCCTAAACCCTAAACCCTAAACCCTAAACCCTAAACCCTAAACCCTAAACCCTAAACCCTAAACCCTAAACCCCTAAACCCTAAACCCCCTAAACCCAGGCTTGTACCGATAGCTGCTGTGCTGGTCATGGCCCGGCACCCTTTCTGGGTTTAGGGCGTTTAGGGTTTAGGGTTTAGGGTTTAGGGTTTAGGGTTCAGGGTTTAGGGGCTTAAGGGCTTAAGGGGCCTAAGGGTAAACTGGCTCAGGAGTTCAGGCTTGGGTGGCTATTAGGGGTTTAGGGCTTGAGGGTGTTAGAAGTTTTCAGGGCTTAGGGGTTAGGGGTCTAGGGCTTAGGGCTTAGGGGGTTTAGGGTCAAGTTTGAACTCGAAGCTCTGAACCTTTCTCCAAAGACACCAAAACCCTAAACCCAAAACCCCAAAACCATGGCCCTGAATCCCTCAACCAGAAACCCTTTGAAAAAAGAGCATTAACGCCCCAACTAAGCCCGTCCGGGCTCCAAGACCCACTGGTACGTACAAGAAGTGGTGAGTCCCTTAGCCGCGCCCAATTGAGGGTTTTAGGGCTTCAGCCTTACCTCCAAATTCCCAAGCATGTGGCAGGGGCATTGTTTTGGTCCTGGTGACCTCAAGAAGGGGCCTCATTCCGGCTCCATTTTGCTACCGTGAACTACAAGGAAGCCCTAACTACGGCTGAACGGAATGTAACCCTTATCCCTTAGCCTCAGCCTTGCCTGAGGTTTTGGACTTATGGGTCTGAAGAGTTTTGTGGGGATCCCTGAGCCCTTAGTTGCCCTAAACCCTCAACCCTTAAGCCCTAAACCCTCTGAAGCAAGGAATAGACCCATCCCCAAGCCTAAACCCGCAACCCCAAAACCCGCAGCCGTTTGGAACGCAGCCCTCCGCTGGTGCGGCTTTGACCGTAAATTGGGCGATCCGGCCGCTGGGCTTTGAAGCCAGCTTCAGGCCTGGGTTTAGGGGCTTGGGGTTACAGCTTGAAGGTTTTGTCTTCAGGTTTGGGACTCAGGGTTTGCTTTTGCTGTCAGGGTTGATGGGCTTTCTTGGCCTCAGGTTTACCTTCCGGGGTTTCGGGACATGACACTTCTTGCTTCAGGCTTCACGGGAGGCGTGTAGGGCCTTAGTTGCTGAGCAGGGGCATCCTCAAGAGGTCTGGATCTTTTAAGCCCCCTTAAGCCCATAAGCCCTAAACCCGCCTAAGCCCTCTCAGCCTCGTGAAAGAGCTCAACATCTTGACAGAGTCAGAGTGGCTCAGGCATGTCGGACCAGCTGGATGTGGAGAGTGCCAACAATCTCCTCCAGAAGGCCAGAGAGAGGGAGGGAGGATCCGAAACTCTAGTCGAAAACCCGAAACTGCCCCCCCAATCCCTACACCCCTCAATTCCTAAAGCTCTAAACTTAAAAAAGAACCCTAAACCCCTCGACCCTAAAACGCCCTAAAGCCGGGGCATACTGAGGGAACTCTGACAGCTTGGCAGACCTTTGGGTGGCAGAAGGGCTATTGGGGGTTGATCGGGTTTATGGGTTTTTTCGGGTTTATCGGGTTTATGGGGCTTATGAGGTTTATAAGTAGGGTTTATAAGGGTTTATAAGGGTTTGTAAGGGTTTACAAGGGTTTATCAGGGTTTGTGGGGCTTAGAGGGTTTATAGGTTTGATAGGGCCTTGTTGAGTGCAGGTTAGTCTCCAGGTGTGTGAGACGCTTCCGGGCGCACCTTTAAACCCTACGTCCCCAGATCCTCTGCCCTCAACCTAGAGAGACCCCCAGCCGAACACACTAAGACCCCATACTCTACCCCTCTAGCCCATGATGCCCCAAACCTCCAAGCGTCTTCCGCTGCCCTCTGAATGCCTTATATGCGCTAAGCCCTACCACTCTGAGAACCTAAAAGGCCCGAAAAGCTCAACAACAGCAACCTAAAACATCAAAAACAACTCAAAATAGTTCCCGAAGCCTCTCAAGCCACAAAGCCTTCCCTTCAGGTGCAGGAGGGGCTTGTGAAAGTCGGCAACAGTGTGCAGGGAGGAGTGTCAAAGGACGCCTTCTTGCAGGACATCGCTGGCCATAGGGCCTTAGGGCTCAGGGCTTCAACCGGTTTCAGGATTTACGGACGAAGGGGTTCAGGGCCTTTAGGAGTTTAGTGGTCTAGGGTTTTGCTTTTTCGAGTTTCGCATAGGGCTTGAAGGGCACCTTCTGCGAGGAGAAAGATGTCCCTGAAGTCTTGTAGTTGCTCTAGGGCTTAGGGGGCTTGACGGATAAAGGGTGTGGTTTCCGCAGCTTTCGGCTGCTAGAGTTTTTGGGTTGCGCATAGCCGCTTAGCCGTAGGCTTCGGAGTTCAAGGTTCAAGGGCTTGGGCACTTTGGATGTTTACAGGAAAGTTCGTTGCTTTTGTTTTTTTGGGGTTTAGGGTTGAGGGTGCGGGAGGTTCTTCGGGGTCTCGTGCTTGCCTTGCACCCAAATTTTTTAGGGCTCTGGGTGCGTCACTTCCTTTGCGATTTGAGAGGTTTGGGGTAGGGGTGGGGGGGAAATTGGCGAGCTGTCGCCCTGAACCTTTTTTGTGTGTTCCTTACCCCAAATCTGGGTTCTTGTTAAGGAACTGAAACTAAGTGACATATTCTTACGTAGCTAAGAACATGCTTCCCCTTCATGGTAACTTTTTTCACTGCCCTCGCAACAACCCAGTTTTTCTCCGACCTCTTAATGTAAGACTCGGGCTTCAGGCTGCTGCATTGCTCTACGTCAACCCGAAACCCTAAACACCTCCCCCCTCCTACGCCCTAAGCCCCAAAGCCATAGGATGTTACGAGCAGCCTTGTTCTTGACTTTAGCTTTCGACCTAAATCCAAGTCAAATGCACTCTCGGCCCTTATTGGTTTCATCGAGATCAGAGGAAGTTAGCTTGTCAGGGTTCAGGGTTGTCGGGTTTTCGGGATTAGGGTTTCGGGGGTTCAGATGTGGCGAGTCATGGCTTCTCCTTCCGTCCTTCCGCAGGAAATCTGGTCAAGTGTTCACAGCTGCACGAACGTGAAGAAATGTCACCTGGTCTGCGAGGCGCCTGCGCCCTCTAGCCCTGAACCTACAAGGGCTTCATGGCGGCTTAAGCGAGTGGGTCGAACTTTCGTCCTGTCATAGGAGTATAGGCATAGGTTTACTGATCTTTAAGTAGCCCAAAGCTCTGAAGCCTGAAACCTAGCGTTGCAGACCGAGTCGTGGCTTCACCTCCTGAACCTAGGATGCCCAGAACCACAGAAGCTTCCTCGGGTTTTGGGGTTACTGAGCAACCCAGACACCCTACGCACCCGAAACCCTAGGAAGCCTTCAACCTTAAAGCGTGGCACCATGAGGTTCTGATTCTCGACCCCTAAAAAAGCGAAGAAGCACGTGGCATCAGGAGGTTATGGGTTCCGGGGGGTTTATCGTAGCTACGGGTTGAACGGGTTTCGGAAGGCTTGGGGAAGTTTAGGGTTCGAGGAGTTGAATTCTCCACGAAAACACTCCCGCGCTATGATCCCAATGACTCCATCTCTCATCCACTCCCCAGCCCTACATGTCGAAACCCTACGAGCCTCTTAACCCCAAACCTCTGGCCCAACCATAAACCTAAACCCTAAACCCTAAACCCTAAACCCTAAACCCTAAACCCTAAACCCTAAACCCTAAACCCTAAACCCTAAACCCTAAACCCTAAACCCTAAACCCTAAACCCTAAACCCTAAACCCTAAACCCTAAACCCTAGCCTAAACCCTAAACCCTAAACCCTAAACCCTAAACCCTAAACCCTAAACCCTAAACCCTAAACCCTAAACCCTAAACCCTAAACCCTAAACCCTAAACCCTAAACCCTAAACCCTAAACCCAACCAACCCACGGCCCGCAACTCAAGCAATTCTGGGAGGCTGCCACGTCCGCGTGCACCTGCGCCGAAGACCTGGCAGCCGCCGAGGCGGAGGAGGAGCAATCGGCCGAGGCAGTTTTTGGTTGCGGATTTGGAGTTTTTTGGGGTTTTGGGCTTAGGATTTGGGGGTTTTGAGCTTCGAGAGGCTCGAGGACGCCGCTTCGCGAGCTTCAATGCGTCTTGTTGGTCAGAAGTTTCTCTTGGGATGCGGGTTCAATATTTCTGTAGGGTTGGGGGCTTAGAGGGTTTAGGGGCTGACAGGGCTTCGAGGGCTGACGGGGTGAAAACAGGCTCAGGGGCTTAGGGAAGACCTTCATGCTCCCAGGGCTGACGTAAACCAGATGCGAACCCCTAAGCCGCAAAGCCCTCAGCTCCCTTAGCAACCCCTAAGCCCCCCTAAAACCCCTCTTTGAGGGTGCGGAGGTCTATAGCTCTCAGCCCCTGTTTTACAACCAAGGCCGTTTTGGGGAATCCCGTCTTTGTCAGAGGTTCCATCAAACAGACAGTCAAGCCAAAGCTTCCCTAAACCTAAACCCTAAGCCGGTTTAGGGTTTAGGGTTTAGGGTTTAGGGTTTAGGGTTTAGGGCCCCTAGGCCCTACCTATAAAAAGTTCATCAAGCCACAGGCCGACGCTGACGAGCCGGAGGCAGCTGCTGAGGAGGTGCGACGTGCAGTGATGAGCCCCCGAACCCCCGCGCAGGGGTTTTGGGTGTAGAGGGTTTAGGGTTTAGGGTTTAGGGTCCCGGGAGTTTAGGGTTTAGGGGTTTTAGGGCAGTTCGAGCGCGTAGGGTTAATAGGGCTAGGAGTTTAGGGACCCCGAACTGGACAGCCGCATAGCTGAAGCTCACTGAGACGCTAAGCCCAAAACAAAGCCCTAGTTTCTTCCGGTTTGTTCGAGGGCTTAGGGCTTAGGGCTTAGGGCTTAGGGCTTAGGGCTTAGGGCTTAGGGCTTAGGGCTTAGGGCTTAGGGCTTAGGGCGCAAAAGCGCAGGGCCGTTGTCCGCTTGGTCCTCAGAAATGCAGGAGGGATTATATTTGAATCGTCTACGGGAAGTGTGGGTTTGAGCTTACGACTACTTCCCAGAAAATCCTGAAATCCTAGAAGGCCCCTCAGAAAGCCTACGCCCTGAGCCACTAAACCCGAAACCTACACATCGCACCACCTAAAAAAAGAACCTCTAGGGCTTGTAGGCTTATAGGCGGTTTTAGGAACCCCCCAAACCCCAAACCCTAAAACCCTAAAACCCCAAAACCCCAAAACCCTCAAACCCTAGAACCCTAAAACCCTAAAACCCCGAAACCCTAGAACCCTAAAACCCTAGAACCCTAGAACCCTAAACAAAAGCCTTGGCAGGAGGATGCCATTGACGACACGCCACCTACGGCGGATGATGGTGGATGCCCTGAGGACTTCCAGGAGACGGCTGGCTTCGCGCCTCGCTTTGTGCTTTCCTTGTTGTTTAGGGTTTAGGGTTTAGGGTTTAGGGTTTAGGGTTTAGGGTTTAGGGTTCAGGGTTTAGGGTTTAGGGTTTAGGGTTTAGTTTAGGGATCGGGTTCCTTTAGAAGCCTCCGGGCTGCCCACAAGGCTGGGATTTGGGGTGTTTGGAGGGTTTAGAGGTTAAGCCTCAAGGAACTCAAGCTTCAGCGGTTTAGTACCTACAATCCAGAAACTCTAAGCCCTAAACCCTAAGATTCTCAAGCCCCAAGATGTAAACGCCAAGCCATGCTCCCAGGTACCTGAGACAGTCGCTTCCGACATCCCAGAGACCTATCCGCTGAAATACATGAGCCTCGACTGGTTGAGCCCTTGAGGTTTTGGGGGTTTCGAGTTTCACCAGGTAGGACGTTGGGATAAATTGCACGCTCCGTTGCGGGTTTGGGGACTATTGTCCACCCCCGGGCCAACTTAAGGAGTTGCAAATCATGGAACTGTGTCTACTGGCTTGTAAATCAGGGTGTAGGATTCAGGGCTTGGGGCACAGGACCCTAAACCCTTAACCCTTAACCCTTAACCCCAAACCCTGAACCCTCAACCCTGAACCCTCAACCCTAAACCCTCAACCCTAAAACCTGATCCTAAACCCTAAACCCTTCAAAAACACGAGAAACATCGAAGAGATCCCAGCTCCAAGGATTTGTGGTCCGAGCCTCTACCCAGAGAATGCCGACTGCTCCTGCGGTGGCAACTACCAGGCGCATATGGTAGGGTTTAGGGTTTAGGGTATGGGTTCAGAGCCGGAGCAAGGAGGCAGTAGCTGTTGCGGTTGCTCAAGGGTTCTTAGGGGTTTGGGGCTCTGGTATCTTATAGGGCCAAGCCTCATGCTCTTGGTTTCTAAATCTAGGGGCAAGCCCTAGCAACAATTTGCGTCCGACTCACATTCACAACAGGAGGAGAGGGAGGGTTCGGGCGTAGGGTTCGACTTCTTTGGGGTGAAGGTTCATGGTTTCGGCAAAACCCTAAAGCACGTCCGATCCCCTAAACCCTTGGGCAGGGCACAGACTGGCGGATCATCCCGCCGAAGAACTGCCCGCAGTGCGATGGCAAGAAGATCTGCGGCCTGCCTGAGAGAGTTTTTTTCTTGGGGTTGGGGGGTTTGGGTTTAGGGCTTCTAGGGTTTGGGGGTGATGAGGGCCTATGGTTTCGCAGCGTAAATGGGGGTTGCATTTGTGTTGGGGGCGCTTTAAACCTGGGTGGGGTGGGTTAGGGACGGGACTTGGGAGGTTTAGGGTTTTGGGGTCGTTTTCTTCAAGCGGTGTGTCAACACTAGGGGTTCCAGCGTGCAGAGTAAGACGGGCTCGATTGGCTAGATACAGTGGCATACGCCGGCGCCCGCGGCCCGGACCATGCGTTTTTCTCGAAGCCTGCTGGCTTTTTGGACTGGCCATGCTCGCCGTGCACGAAACTGTCGTCGACGAGTCGTCGTTTTTGGACTTCTGTGTGCCCCGAATGCGAAACTCTCTGTCGTCGCTTTTGGACGCCTGGGCTCCCCAAATGCGCAACTGTCGTCAGTTTTTGACGCCTGGGTTCTCCAAATGCGAAGCTGTTGTTGCATGTGTGGGCTCTTGGTGGCTTCTGGACGTGCTCTTGATCCATTGGGCTGCTCTTGCGTGTCCACATGGTCTCTCACTGTTTCGGGTCTGCGCTGGCATAGTTGTTCGTTCTTGGGAGATTTAGGGCTTATTAGTCCGAGTTTCGGGTTTAGGGAGCCAACACGAGGCTCGAAATAGAGAAATGTACGTGGGCTTCAAGATAGGGATCCTGTGTGATGACCCTGGGGCCAAGGAATGTTTTGTCCATCCCGCTCTCCCCGAAACCTCAAAAACTCCCCCAAACCCTTACACCGGACAAGCCTCAAAGCCCTGAAACCCTTAAACCCTCAAACCCCTAATTGAACCCTAAACCCTGCGAGGGTTTAGGCTCAGTGCCCTCAAAAGCCGCGCGTGCGCGAAGGTGGAGCTTGCAATGGCGCTGGCCTCAAGGCCAAGGGAGACTTTGAACCCCGAGGATCCTAACCCTACTTGGAGGTTCATGGTACTTCTTAACCACTTGTAACTGTACTTAGAGCTGTACTTAAATCTATATTTGGGCACTTGAGGGGCTCGTAAGTGGGTCATAAGCACAGTGAAAAATGGGTTCCTGAGTACCCTGAACCTCCAAGTACTCCCTGAGACCCAATCCTGAGGGTTTAGGGGTTGGAAACCCTGACTCCCAAGCTCCACTATCGCTGTGCACAAAGACCTTGAAGACTCCCCTCACATCAGGCGGCAAAGAAGGCATGCCCTGCATGCAGCAAGAAGAAGGGCCGCTTGGCCCCTCTTCAGCTGACCCCCAAGCGCTGTTTTAGGGTTTAGGGTTTAGGGTTTAGGGTTTAGGGTCCTCAGCCCGATACAGTCTTAGCCTGGTTAGCCACAGGTTTAGCAATGTGGGAGACCATACCCCCTGACCCCAAACCCTGAACAGTTGTCATCAGGAAGGTTGGCGTAATTGAGGCGCGACCCTCAATCCTCAGCCTGCCCTGCAAAAACTTGTAACTGCAGAGGGGGTTTAAGGTTCAGGGTTTTGGGGTTTTAGGGGTTTTAGGGTGTTGGGTGTTTGGGGGTTAGGCTTCCCGACTGAGCCGAGGCAAGTGCCCCACATGCTCGGGCGAGAAGTTTGTGAAGTGCACTGCGCGGCCCTCAGTGCCAGTGCTGGAACGCGGCTTGGGTTTTAGGGTACCAGGGCTTCAAGGTCAAGGTTGAAACTGCTCGAAACTTCATGGCAGCTCGTTGCCTCAAGAAGCACCGTTGACAACCACTCCGACCCTGAAGACCCCGAACGTATAGACCCCAGCCGACCAAGCCCGCAAACGACCCTCAGCCCGTGAACAAAAAAACAAAACTCCCTCAACCCGAGCCTTAAACTCCAAACCCCAAACCCGAAACCCCAAACCCCAAAACCCTAAGCCCAGACCCGAAACCCGAAACCCGAAACCCCAACCCCAAACCCTACACCCCAGACCCAACAACGCTAATCCCCACCCAGGCCAAGGGTTGCGTCAAGGGCAACCTCACGCGACCCCGGCACCTTGGCCCTGGAACTCTCTCGAGAGCAAAGCGGGGGGGTTTAGGGTTTGGGGTTTAGGGTTTGGGCTTTAGGGTAGGGTTTGGGGTTGTTTTGGCGTTCAGGGCTTAGAGATTGGGGCTTTAGATGGTTTTGGGGCGGGGGTTCTGGGGCGGGGGTTCAGGGTCGGGTTCGTGGGGCTTCAGCATTTTAGGGGTTTTTGGGGGTTATACAAGTTGCATAACGAGCTTAGTGTGTCACCTGGGGCGTTTTAGGGCCTTAGGGGCTCCAGGGTGCTCGGGAGTGCAGGAATTCGGGATTTTGGCGGTGCACCGACCCCTGTATAGGGCCTCAAGCCTTTATGTATGACTATCACTCCCTACCCTGACCGCGCACTTGCTTGTACTTTCAAGAACAAATTCTCGCCCAGTGCTGTGCGGTTTTCTGGCTTGGTCCCGAGAATAAGCCCGCAGAGAGCCGAGTATCCCTGGAGCGCCCATCCCAAGAAATTCCGCGGTGTATAAGCCCAGTGACCTGTGGCCCCAAAATTCAGGGTTTTTATAGCCCATGGCAGTGGCTTCTTTGAGGGTCTAGGTGAAGCCCAGACCCTAGCAAAACCTTGAGCAATTGCATTGGGCCTGTTCTTACCACGTTGTAGCTGTTCTCATTGTGCCCGCACGCTAAAGCCTCAAAATAACCCTAAGATCCTGAAGAATCCTAAAGCCTAAGCCCTAGCCCTAAAGCACTAGACCGTAAATGCCTCCAGCTGACCCAAGAAAGGAAGTGCGATCTCTGCGGCGGTAGGGGGCAGATGATGGTCTGGGACGGCCACTTGAGCGCAGATTTGGCCGTCGACCTCTTTAGGGCATATATAGGGCTGAGGGTTTGCTGTGATGAGCACAGGTTTGATTGAGCTGTGGCGTGAAACAGTGGATTGCGGCTGATTGCGGCAAGGAGTTTCATGTCAGTTTCGACTTCGGAGCTTCGGAGTTAAGAGAGTTTTGCTCTTGACCCAAGCTGCCACACTGCACGGTCTGCCATGTTTCCGATCTCGGGGCTTGTTGCACGTTGGGGTCCCCTTTGTAAGTAGTTCCAAACCGCACCGGGACAAGCTCATTAACTGTAGCGCGCGCATCGCAGATGAAGGAAAGCCAAGTCCTATGTCACATGGTGCAGCACCGCGCACGTCATGAGCTAGGAGGGCTTTGAAGGGTGCCTCAGAAGGGGATAAGCAACACCCCTCCCAAGCCTTGGAGCTCAACCCTAAACCCTACACCCGAAACTCGAAACCCTCAACCCAGAGGGAGATCTAACCCCTCGGCCGACGGAGGCAAGATGGCCTTCTTCTTCAACCAGCTCCTCAGCCTTTCCTGCAAGACTCGGATTAGGTTCTAGGGCTTGGGGTCTAGGCTTGGTAGGCCTTCGCTGCAAAACCCAAAACCTTCTGTGAGGTTTAGGGCTTTGAGATGTAAGGGAGACTCAGGTTCTCCATGTCTTTCATTGCAAGCCCATGTGACAGTGTGACAGAGTGAATGAAACGTGAGTGTGTGCCATGTTTACATTGGCTTCGCAGGGACCGACGACCATGGCTGCACATCTTAATGTGGCTTCTTCAGGGTTATTTGAAGTGGAGGTCAATCAACAGCCCAGCGCAAACGGTGACCTGATGCACGGTTTTTGTAGCTTCACGTCTTTGGAAGCACCAGATCATCATACCATCATCATCATCATCATCACCATCATCATCATCAAAATACATGTTCCTCAACCAACTATTCTTGAGCCTTTTTAAATTGTTGAGCTCATACTTTCTACAGGGAGGTGTCTTCAAAGATGCCTCTTGAACTGTAGAAGCCCTGACTGGAACCCTGAGCCTCCCGAAACCCTTAAGCTAAGCCCCAAACCCCAAACCTCACACTCCAACACCCCAAAATCCTCAAAACCCCTCCTCCCGCTCCCCCCACCCGAAGCACCGGGGCACCTTTTCAGCCCTGAGTGCTTGTCCAGCCACGCAGAAGAGCCCCTAAACCCTAACCCCTGAACCGAGGAACCCTTCCTGGACCGAGAAGATCAAGTTCCGCGGGCTGACTATCGAGCCGAAGGCCTGCCGATGCAGGACTCAGGGGAAGTAATCCACGGTTCGGGTTAATTGCTAATCATGTCACCTTCTGGTCCTTGCGTACTTATACTATAATGGCCCCTAGGCCCTACTCTGACTATAAAAGGCCCCTACATGAACCTGCTTCCTTCAAGTTCAGGGCTCCAGGGATGTCATGTTTGGGGCTTAGGGTTCGCGGGATTTCCACACGCAGCCGTCGCACGATGCCTTGCGCTCCGAGTGCTGTTGTGAGCTTTGTGCTCTCAGCTTTCCAGCTGGAAGGCTCATTGGTTAGCGCCTTGTCGGAACCATGTATCTAAATAAATAAATAAATAAATATATATATATATATATATATATGTAGATAATAAAAACTATATGTGGGACTGCCCTGGGACTGCTGAGGGTTTAGGATTTGGAGTTTAGGGATTGAGTGAGCGCACTTGTCATGCTTGCTCAGAGATGTGGCGTCCTTGTCAAGGACAGGATGTCTCATCTATGCACCCTGGACCTAAAACTCGAAGCCAACTGAACCCTGCAAAGCCTACACGGCCTAAACCGCCGAACTCCTAAACCCTAAACCCCAAAACCCCAAACCTAAAACCCTAAACCCTAAACCCTAAACCCTAAACCCGAAACCCTAAACCCGAAACCCTAGCAGGTCTGGGGGCCCATCGCGGGCAAGTGCGAGTCGGATCACGGCTGCTTCTACGGCCTGAAGAGCGCCTTCAAGGGCGAGCACCCAGGTTTCCACAGAACGGCTTAGGGTTTAGGGGTTTAGGGGTTTAGGGGTTTAGGGGTTTAGGGGTTTAGGGGTTTAGGGGTTTAGGGGTTTAGGGGTTTAGGGGTTTAGGGGTTTAGGGGTTTAGGGGTTTGTGGCAAGGACCTTTATGTTCTATTTGGCCGAGGGCTCTGTTGCCCTTATACGAGATTTAAATCGATTTGAAAAAAAGGGTCAAGGGCTTACTCTGCGCGTTTTCCTTCACAGCGTCTCTCGGACTTGTAGCAGCTGTCTTCCTCATCTGTAGCCGTGAGACATGGAACAGAGTCTCGAATGCTGGCCTGCGGTCTCTTTTAGCAGTCTTATTGTAAGCAGATAGGGTTTGGGGTTTCGGGTTTAGTGTTTGGATTTGAAGTTTCGGGTTGAGGGTAGGGGGTTTAGGGTTTAGAATTGGGATGCAGGTCGACCCTATTTGCTCTCAAGCATTCCGCGCGGCCCCGAAACCCTAAACCTGAAACCCTAAACCCTTGCCTATACCCTAGACCCTTAAGGTCCTGAACTATGGTCTTTTTGAGCTAGGCACCCCAAAAGAAATGAACTCTTAGGGAACTGCCCCAGTCTCCTGGCACATGACAACGATGTGAGGCTCCGACGATTTTTTGCTTTAAGGAGGGGGGGGGGGGTAGGGTTTATAGTTTCGGAAATTTACTCTCCTTAAATCCTAACCCTAACTAAGCCCTCAGCACGCGCGTGCTCTCAGACCCTCAGACCTTTGCTTTGCCTGCCGGGCTTGCTTGGACTGAGGATTACTTTTAGAGTGTTTAGAGTTCGGGGATTCAGGGTTTAGGGCTCATCGGGCCGAAAGGGTTTGGAGCTTTGTGGCCCAACGAATCATGGATGTCAGGCTATGGTTACCCCCCGAAAAAGACCTTAAACTTCAACATGCATAGGATTTAGGGTTTAGGGTTCCAGTACCTCAGCCCATGCTTCAAAAAAACGCTCCGGTGAGCGGAACCGCTCTGTCTGGGCATGCCGGCCTCATAAGGCCCGTCAATATAAGGGAGAGCGTCCCTAAACCCTAGACCCTAGACCTTGCGTTTTTGAAGCGCCTGAGCCTTGCAGCCTTTCCGGCTCACCCTGAACCCTAAACCCTAAACCCTAAACCTTGAATCCTAAACATTGAATTGTAAACCCTAAATCCTAAATCCTAAACCCTCAACCCTAAACCCTAAACCCAGTATTTCTTCTGTGGGTTTAGGGCTTGGGTTTTAGGAAGCCCTAAGCCCTGAATCCCTAAACCCTGCCTCAGGGGGGCCGAAGAGAATTCCAACAAGGGGGCCGATGTCGGGCCACATGCCGTGGCGGTTTTTAAAGTAAGTGCTGCACTCTGCTCACTGCTCAGATGTACTCAGCGACGCCTAAGCCGCAGAATTTGCTCGTTTAGGGTTTTCACATGTAGGGCTTGGGGTTTAATTAGGGTTCAGGGTTTAGGGTTTCAGGTTTAGAGTTTAGGGAGTAACCATCTTATAATAAGGGTACCCTTTTTGGGGTTGCTCGTTTTTATAGAACCTAAAAAGGGCAACAGGGTACCACTCAGCTACCAAGCCTACACCCTCAACCCTCAACCCTAGACCCCCCACTTCCTCAAATCCTCGACACTTAACGCTGACCCTACAGAACCTGAACCCTAAACCCTAAAGGGCTCAGGGCTTCAGGCCTTTTGGTTACCATGCGCCCACTCCAACTAAGATTCCAGGGTTTAGGCACCTTCGTGAAGGATTGGTGCTTGGAGGCTTAAAGTTGTGGGATTGCTCCGGTCTAAGGCTTGGTTTAGGGTTCAGGGCTTAAGGGCTTCGGGGTTTCGGGTTTAGGGTTTGAGGTTTAGAGTTTAGGGTGTGTGGACTCGTGTGCAGAACCAAGCATCTGACGTCAACATCTTCGAGATCCAGTGACCAGGAGCTGCCTAAAGTTTGCGAAGGTTGCGGCTCGAGAAGAGACAGGCAGACAAAGCGAAGAAACAAAAGAGACAAAAGAAAATTCTTTGAAAAAAAAGGAAAAGTGCGGAGAGCCAGAGTGTCAAGTGGGATACGGCCTCAAGTAAACAGGGGAAGCGCTGGACAAAAAAAGAAAGTGCCGAGAGTCCGAGAGCCATGAGAAGCACAAAAGAAGGAAGTGCCGAGAGCCAGACCTTCGGGATGCCCTTGTTCTTCGCTGAGGCCTCAGGCACGAAAGCAGAAGAGATAGACAGACAATGAAGCCTAAGACATGCCACAACAAAAGCAAGTAAGATCTGGAAAGAAGAAAGCGTCAGAGCCGGACTTTGTCGACGGCCTTCTTGGCCTCAGCAAAAAGCAGAAGAGATAGACAGACGATGAAGCCTATTGCGTGGGACAGCAAAGGAAGGGAAGATGTAAAAAGCAGGAGGTGCTGAGAGCCAGACTTTCAAGACGCCAGTCTTCTTAGCTGACACCTCAGGTACAGAAGCAGGAGAGATAGGCAGACGATGAGGCCTGAGGCATGGGACAGCAAAGGCAAGGGAAACGTAAGCAAGAGAATTGCCGAGGGCCAGACGGTCTGCGACGATGCAACGAGGGGTGAGGTAGCCTAGGCGCACCCGAAAGAAAAGCAACGAGGACACAAGACGTGTGCCGAGGTAAACAAGAAAGTGTCAAGAGCCAGACTTTGGGGACGGCCTTCTTGGCCTCAGTAAAAAGCAGAAGAGATAGACAGACGATGAAGCATATTGCGTGGGACAGCAAAGGAAGGGAAGATGTAAAAAGCAGGAGGTGCTGAGAGCCAGACTTTCAAGACGCCAGTCTTCTTAGCTGACACCTCAGGTACAAAAGCAGGAGAGATAGGCAGACGATGAGGCCTGAGGCATGGGACAGCAAAAGCAAGGGAAACGTAAGCAAGAGAATTGCCGAGGGCCAGACGGTCTGCGACGATGCACCGAGAGGTGAGGCCTAAGCGCGCCCGAAAGAAAAGCAGCGAGGACACAAGGCGTGCGCCGAGGTAATCAAGAAGGAAGTGTCAAGAGCCAGACTTTGGGGACAGCCTTCTTAGCCTCAGTTAAAAGCAGAAGTGAGAGACAAACGATGAAGCCTATTGCGTGGGACAGCAAAGAAAAAGAAAACGTAAACAATAGAGTTACCGAGGGCCAAACAGTCTGCGACGATGCTCCGACGGGTGACGCCTAATCGCGTCCAAAGGAAAAGCAAGCAGGACAAAAGACGTGAGGCAAAGAGGCGCCGAGGACATGACGGGCTGGGCTTGCTTCCAGGGCGGAAGCACGACCTTAAAGGAAAAGAAGAACGTAAGCAGAAAAGAGGAGAAGAGATAGACAGACGATGAAGCCTATGGCGTGGGACAGCAAAGGAAAAGAAAACATAAGCAAGAGAGTTGCCGAGGGCCAGACAGTGTGCGACGATGTTACAACATGCGACGCCTAAGCGCATCCAAAAGAAAAGCAAGCAGGACGCAAGACGTAAGGCAAAGAGGCGCCGAGGACATGACCTTCTGGGCTTGCTTGAGGACCCACGGAGGTGGGTAACATGGTTCTCTGGGCACAAGTGCACCGCAAGGTTTGCAGCCGACCTGAACGCAGCATGATGGCGGAAAGGCAATGATGAAGGTGGAAACGCATACGTGGAACTTCGACAACAGGCTTTTGGGGGTTTGCCCAATGACGAGGGCACAGCGGTGTTCAAGTGCTACGTTTTCAAAACCATTTCGGACTTCACAAAATTGTTCCCTCGAGATTGGCGCTGCCAAGGACCCTCGACACAAGCCAGAAGCATCTTCAACGGTTAGCCGCCCCGCAGGGCACAGATCCCTCTCTTCAAGGTTTAGGGTTCAGGGTTTAGGGTTTAGGGCTTAGACTTAAGGCTTAGAACTTAGGGCTTAGGGTTTAGGGTTTTAAGGTTTAGGGTTTAGTCGATGTAGGGTGAATGCTGAGGGCAGAAGTGCTTTAAAGGTGGTGAAGCCTGAATGCCCCAACCCCCAATACCCAATATTAAACAAACAGAGCCTCTCATCTCTACACGAAAACCTTGAAAGCGCCTGTACACCGACTTCTTTCTGAACGGGCCCTCAAGCTGTGGATGTTGGGGGGGTTTAGGGTTTAGAGTCTTGGGGATTTAGGGTGCAAGAGTCGGGTTTAGAGGTTTAGGGTGGGCGGTTGAGGGTTTTAAGGGTGAAAGCGTATGCCCTAAACAACCCTGCGCATAAATGGCCCTAAAGTCAACCCCTCCAACCCCTGCTTGCTAGCTATAAGGAGAGCAAAACACTTGACCGGAGAAAGGATTTCCAAGGCCTTAGTTTAAGGTCTGGGGCTTCAAGCTAATCCGCTACCCTCAGCCTTAAACCCTAAACCCAAATATCCAATCCCTACACATGGGGCTATGTCATGTCAGGCAGCATAGCTCCTGACTATGATCGAGGATGTTTGAATCAAAATAGGCGGAAATCAGACTTAACTAGTGGACAAAGCCGAAGACCCAAAGCTCCCCAGAGGGCGCCTGAAAGCTTACGCCCCAAAGCCACACCTAATCCCGAACCCAAAGAGTCCTGACTAAGCCTCAAGCCCTAAGCCCTAAACCTTAAACCCTAAACCTAAGCCGTACACCCTGTCCGAAACCCTACATACACCACACCGGAGCACTGCCTTAGCTGGTGCTGTCTTGCTTCCTCGCGCGCCAAATTTTATGGGAGAAAAGTGCCCGTTTGGTGTTTATTAGAGGCTTAGGGTTTAGGCTTTACGGGTTTAGGGTTGAGGGACGGCATTTTGGGTGAGCTCGCAGAGTTCAGGTCCGGGCTGGGAGTAGCTTAGGGCTTAGGGTGGATTTCTAGGGGCATACTCCGGAGCCCTTAATTTGGGTCCCGTGTCATAAAACCCTTATAAATACAAAGGGGCCCGTCCGAAGTCTTTAAATCCTTTAAGACAAAGGTGAGGGACCGTTTTAAAGGGCTCACGATTCTAACCTTTTAATTTAGGGCCTTATGGGTTTAGGATTTAGGG